TGCCCACTCGACAACAGTTGTTATGCAAACTCTCGTCGAGATTCCTCAAATTTTTCGGAACTTTTCTTCAACAATCCGTACCGCTGTATTATTGACATGACCTTCAATTTGTCATGTTCTTGCAATTTCCATCCTTTCTTTTCAAGACTTTTAACGACGGCCAAAGCATCTTTTATTAGTCTTGACCTAAAGCTATTGAAGTTTTCATCTGGCTTTGGTTTCAAATGCTCGTCGTAATGTCTTGGGAATGGAAAGATAAAGTTCCGCAGATGAGCGCCATTGTCCAAGAGTATATCGACCACAAGATGCAAGCGATTCGCCACAGCCCACTCAAGGGGTGTCCTGGCGAACTTGTCCCGAACATCGACGTGTACAGTCCGGTAAACGCTGTCACAGACTCTGAAGAAATTCATCGCATAGATATGCGCATCAGTTCCTTTTTTACAAATAATGTGCAAAGGTGTCATTCCTTCTTCATTGGTCAAATTTGGATTAGCTCCTCGTCTTAGGAGAGGTTCGATCATTACAAAGCAGCCGTCTAGCACAGCCAAGTGTAGTGGTGTGTTACCGAACTTGTCCTGAGCATCGAGCTGCAACGTCTGCTGCATGTGATCGGAGATTCTCAGGAACGTCATCAACAAGTGATCACGGACTGCTCGTTTGGCGCGAATAATATGCAGAGGAGTCATTCCATCATTGTTAGCGACATTCGGATTGCCCCCTTTTAACAGCAGAAATTCGACCATATCTACGTTTTCATAGTGTATCGCATAGTGCAATGCCGAGTTACCCAAATTGTCTTGGGTGTCAAGGTGTATCGTTTGCTCCATGTGATCGCAGACTCTAAAAAACGTACTTGCCATGCTATAAGCCTCGTCAGATTTTTGGCAAATAATATGCAGAGGAGTGGCACCATCTTCATTCACCGCATTCGGGTCAGCCCCACTTATGAGCAACTGTTCGACCAAATTTTCAGTAGCGTAAAAGACTGCAGAGTGCAATGGTGCAGGCAATGTATTATAATAATCCAAGTGGAAAGCTCTCAGTCTCGCAGAAAGAGCCATTTTCCTCGTTTCTAAGCTTTTTGTTCTTGTGGAATCAATTAAGCTAATGTTCCGTTGATGCTTACACTTTAGTGTCTGAACATTTACTAGCGATGTAACGGTACTGCAGAAAGATCAATATCTAATTCGAAGTGAGTATTTTTATGCACTCCAACTCACCTAATGATTCAATGAGGCTTCCACGTTGGCTTCTACAGATGAACTGGAGTTGCCCTGACACAGCACAGCAAGGTGTTACTAGTCAAATGGTCCACGTCAGAAAGTGAATGCTAATTTTTTATATACTACAACTGATGTGCAGACGAACCAATGATGCTTGTACGTTGGCTTCTACAGATGAACTGATGTTGCCCTGACACAGCACAGCAAGGTTTTACTAGTCAAATGGTCCACGTCAGAAAGTGAAAGCTACTTTTTTATTCATTCCAACTCAGCTCACGAATCGATGATGCTTCCAAGTTGGTTTTTTTTAACGTTCTAAATAATGTTTCAATTTCGATTTGAATTTTCGAATTTTTCATTTACTTCGCAAAATGCTCAAGTATTCTTCTTTATCTAAATAATTTGTTTTTTCACAGTACTCTATTCACTCAAGCATATTTTGAACTGATAAATTTAATATACGAGCATAATATCGAAAATGTTGGTTGTTGGAGTCAAAATCAATTTTGCGTTTCGCGGATTTCGACATAGCATGCACGCAGGTTAACGCCAAGTGCAATTGCTCATCACTGCAGGATCAAAAGATGTGTCTGCAAGAGCCCATCATAATATTATGTACACGAATAAAGCGGCTACGTTTGCATGTGGGGAATTACGTCACGATTGCACGGTTTATTCGGGTAAACGCGCGGCTCGATTTTTCGCTTTTTACACTCGCGTAATTGACAAAACCCGATGTTTTCGATCGTTCGTATAATAAACCGTACGTATGGAAACACTTTGCGCCGTGGCCAGAAAATTATTATGTCATTGCTCAATGCGCGTGTGTCTGTTGCCGGTATACCAAAGCTCCGTCCGCCACATTCGATGGCCTACGAGATGATGATGACGATGACGAAGACGGCGATGATGAACCTGGCCGCGGGGCCCGCGCAAGAGCATCTATTTCGTCCTGTAAATAGCATCGTGCCAGAGTATCGCGACTTATACTCGTGCGAGTGTCATTCGACTATCCCCACACAATCTGCCGTGCAATATATTCAACGAGACTCGCGTTGTTAATTATTCAAGCTGTCTTTAGAAAAAAATTTTGAATCGTGTAACACATAAAATTTGATGGGAAATTCGAATTTTGTGACAACGATCAAAAAGCTGCGCACGCAATAAGACCCAAGACCTCTCGATTACTATCGATATGCGTAATTAACTAAGGAGTAATTAAATAAAACATGGATAAGTATCGTTAGCTCACTGTAAATGTAGAAAAAACGAAAAGTAATTGTAGCGCAGCCAAAAAATATCAAACTTTGAGTCTTTTTTAAAATTCAAAAGTGCACTCTCTGCTGTGAAATGACCATAGATCAGTTGACGAACGAAGCTTTATTTTGTGTTTGTATGTCGTTTTCCGGGGTAAAGATCAAAGAATCCACTTATTATTGTAAATTTTCCATATCGTAAAATGAAGAAATTTTGATAAAAAAGTATTACATTTCTTTCAAGATGAAGCTCAAAAACGAATTTTTGGACTAGTTATCCTGGAATAATTTTATATACTTATAGTTTAAAACTAATAAAAGCTCATAAAAGATAAATTTATGAAAAGCTTTTCCTCAACAACACCGACACGTAGTCCACATTTTCATGTATACGAATTCATCCGCAACTGATCTCGCGGCCCCCGCCTCGACGAAAGTCGCGCACGAGCGAATGAGCGTCAAAACTCCATAATCCTACGTGTTTTAGGTTGAATTTTTTTTTTTCGTCGGTACACCGACGGCGACGGTACAGACAGCGTAACCGTGCACGGAGCGAACAAATTGAAACGTATCTCGCGCAATCTTCATCTTCATTCCGGAAATTCAACGCGAATAATGAGATTTCGCAGTCGATCGTAGTGGAATCTCTCGTCGAAATTGCTCTTCGCGCTGCGGCGTGTTCGTATATGCATCAATTGTTAATCCCGAAAAACGTCGCGTGTTTTTTGCGCTCGATAAACATTGTATACAGGTATCGCAAGCCGCATACGTGTGTGTTACGCGCACCAAAGTCTGTGTACTACATATCTTTCGCGCTAATGACGAAAGGCGACGAGTCGCCTGCGTTGATGCATCTGCATACAAATTGTCGCTCGGCGATTTCCATTAAAAATTTCGTTACACACGTACCTCTCGAGCTTTCTTCGCCACTATTTTGCAGTATCTCATATCGTCCGGTATAGGCGCGATTTGCCACAAGAATTAATTTCCTAATACGTCAGAGCTAAAAATTCGTGAATTCACTCGTCTTGTTTTTTTTTTTTTTTTTTTAATATGCAACGATCCGCAAATATGCTAATTATTATTATCGAACGCCGAGATACCTGTCGCGTTATGCACATGCTTGAATGCAAAAATATAAGCGGCCAAATCGCTTGTATGACGCGATGTTAACAGCGCGCCGCGGTGGCAAGCCGATTAAGATTCGAAAAATCGTCACGTTTATTTACCTTTTTTTTGTGGGTTTTTTCGTTACGCGACGTATCTTTCAACATCGTCCTTTTCTTCGTCGCTTCTTCATCTTCTTCGCGTCAACCGAGATAATCGGTGACATAACGCGAAAATTTTTTCATCGCGTGATGGGATCTCTCATCTCTGCCGGCTGGTCTGGCTTCTCGCGCGACGACGACGACGACGTCTTTTCAGCACAGCATCGGCAGAGGAGGATATTTTGCAATAAATTCACTTACAATTGGATGAAGTATCGCACGCGCGAACGAGCGACTTCTTATTTTCAATAATAATATCCGCCCCCTTATAAATCAAACTTTGGGTAAATCTGTGGGAAAAAATAAAATATTTAATAATGATTTGACCGTTGTACCGGTCGTAATTACGAGAGAAGACTCGATTTGCTGATGTCTGAGTAATTAGTGGTGATTTATTCCATTGCCGAGGTGAGTGCGTTTATTCCACCGTAATATATCCATACTTGAGTTGAGAAAAATAAAATAAAATGAAATTAAGTAAAGACAAATTCGCGTTAATGAATTATACAGTTATGGACCATAGTTTAGTAGCTCCAGGCCATAGATAGAAATTCAATAAGCAGGAATCAGTTTGTGTGTGCCATATAGTCACGTATTACCAAAGAACGTATATTATTATATGATCGGTCGCCTAGTATTGAAAAAAAATATGAATAAATGTTTAAAATATGTACTCTTAAAATGGACAAAAATCGTACAAATTAATTGTTGCATATCTCTGCTGTAAGCAATCATTTGTAAAAAATTATGTCTGTATCATATAAGTTTGTTTATGAATAATGTATTATCATGAATAATTAATTTTAAACTTTATACTTCATTTTTAAAGAAATGTTCGAAAAAGTTTTGAGTTTAGGAAAAATTTGTGCAAAAAATCTTCAAATTGGTGAGCAAAACTCCAAATAGCTCTAAATAACAATAGTTAAAAAAAGAAATAATCGTTTGATTTAAAAATAAAATATAGAATCTCATACACAAATAAATTTCAAAATATGAACATGTATTTTTGGATTATATTCGATTATTAAACGATATTGATATTTTCTTTCATCTATTAGCACAGATTAATGTTACGTAATAGTTATTTTCAATCCAATACAAATTGAAATTGCTGTAAAGGTAAGTTGTATTTTTCTTGTAAAATGAGCTGTAGATCCATTGATTCGCTATAAGGCTTGTGTTCTTCTTATTCAACTTATTTTGTATTATTTTCATATAAATAGGAAACATTGAAATAAAAATCATTCAAATACGTCTGCAAATACATTTATTTTTTCTACTATAGTTTATTACACGTGATAGCTCACGAATGTTAATAAATAACAGTAATAATAATAAAAGTATAATAAATATGAGTATATGATACAATAAAATTAAAAATGATAATGAAACCTAATCTTCCTTTTATACTTTCTATGACAGCTGCCTCAATGCTTTTTTTGTAAATTATCTAGCACGCCTACAGAGTATACTTTTTCACTTCTTTTTTTTTCAAGAATTCTAAGTTAAAAAATTTTCAACACCAAAATTTATTCCACGTATGTAGTAAAATCCATATTCAACGTGGAGTGCACTAAAATCAATTAGAATTTTATCCTCGCATTAGATAATTTTCCTTTCTCTTTTGGTAAAATATATATAACGATTTGACCGGAGCTTTCGTACTCAAAAACCTCAAAACTTCGTTACAATTAATCGAACTAATCATCTTTCGTCAGGCCGATGCGGTAACAATCGCAAACTTTAAAAACATGTCCAGAGCAAACACTTTCATCGATATCAATAACTGCTAAAATAAAAGTATAATAAAAAGTAAAATCGCACGACACAAAAGAAATGCAAAGGCAGTAATTAAATAACAAGAAAAATCGTTAACTCAGCTAACACGTGTCTCGTATGGTCACTATTTATCGAGAATGACACAAGCTTAAACATTAAATGCTTTTGATATACTAAACGATGTTGAATCAAGTTGATAAAATCGCTACGTTATACTTGTAGAATATACATACGATTTTGTTCTTTTACTTGATGAATATATTGTATGTGTACACGAGTAGAGTAACGATTATATTATATCTGTTATTTACTTTTCTTCTTATCGTCGATTATACTGAATAACCAAATATTTTTAATAACTTTTGCAAGTCGCGAATTAACTAGATACTTGCTTTATAAAATCGTCTCACAATTTCAAATTGTTTTGTTTCGCTAATTCAGTTGTTTTTGTGATCACAAATGCTGTTGATTTAAAAATGAATAATTAATTATTCGCGACGGCTTATTTACAGCCAGAAAAATCAATTCCAACAACAGTCTCGATCACAAGCTACTCTAATATTTCATGATTCAAAGTATATATTATTTTTGACAGTCAGAATTCATCAAGTCTTTCATTCGAATCATTTGTTCAAACTAATTTTTAAAAATTTCCTAAAAATTTTTTGCAGGCGCTTATATTCAAAGTTTTGTTGTACTTATTTCCGTAGCATTCATGAAATCTCTGGTACACCGAGGAATATCTGGCTCTTACCTACGATTAATTACATATAATACAATTATATCCTTTCTCGTGAAGGAGGAATGTCAAGCTCGTGGAGTGAGCTTGTTTTAGAAATGCACAAAATTGATTATCATGCGATCCGTAAGGCCAAATATTCCCGCATTTTGAGACGTCATTTTTATGAAAACTTGTGCGTCTATCTCAGTTCAGCGGACCTACGTCAACGAAGTCGTAGATAAAAGATGGAGTGATGTCGCCATCAGAGCCTTCTTCTTCTTCCAAAGTCGTGAGCTCGATTGATGGATTGTTCCAATTGACATTTTCTCCGCTAATATCAAGTCCACAGTGAATGTTTTCAGGAATATCGTTAACAACAAAATGAGCTTCAGTCAAGGGCAAAGCACCTTTTAACATTAACCTGAAACATTATAAAATGAAGCGTTAGATTTTCAAAAAAATTACTAGTAAAATTGTTTCTTTCAAACATATTATCGTAAAAATTAACGTACCACATGCTTTCGTCGGCTACAACATGAACCTTGGGAATGGGAAAACCATTGAAGGGAGAAGCGACGGGCAAAGTATAAGCTCCCATGTTCTCGAAGATGATCCAGTCGCCCAGTTCCATTTCGTGGAGCATCACGTTGTCCACGACCTGGTCCAAGCCGTCGCAGGTCGGGCCCCAGATGCTCGAGGGCACGAGCTTGCCGCTACCCGGGCGCAACGGGATCGGCGTCACGTGCTGGTGATCGTACAGCAGACAGTTGAAGGAGCCGTAGACGCCGTCGTTGATGTAGTACATGTGGTGAGTTACTTTGTCGGGATCGTTGACGTTGGCGCGCACAACGCGCTTGCTGTGGATGCAGGTAGCCAGGGTGAAAGCAGATGCTACGTAGAAACGACCCGGTTCAGCGATGACGTGCACGTCGTCAGCTAGAAATTGAAAAAAAAAATGATACATCAGTGAAATTCTACACTACGCTGCGGTAATCGTTTGTACAAGTATTTTTTTTCATGACGTACAAACTCGTGGTAATATAAAACTTTGGTCGAGCTTGGCACGACGCATACTTTTTCAAAATACAAGAGTTTCAAACTTACATGGGAAGTATTGATCGAGAGAGTCGTTGATGACATCGGCGAACACGTCGATGGACGTGCCTCTGTCGCCGGGATATCCACCGCCGAGATCCAGCAGGTAGGGCTTGAAACCGATGTCGGTGGCCAGATCGAACAGCGTCCTGGAGTGGGCGATGGCCCGATTGTAGACCGGCGGATCTTGGCAGCCGGAGCCGACGTGGAAGCTGATGCCGATGACGTCGAGATCCAGGACTTTGGCCAGGCGCAGGAGGGTGGGGGCGTCGTAGACCGGATCGCAGCCGAACTTCATGCCGAGCTGGCACTGGGCCAGCTCCGAGTCGCAGCGGATGCGCAGCACGATCTTGGCCGAGGGGAAGATTCTCTTGATCTTGTAGAGCTCGCTCTCGTTGTCGACGGTCATGAGGCGCACGCCGACGCTCTCCGCGTGGCGTATGTGCGAGCTCGGCTTGGCCGGATTGGCGAAGATGATTCTGTCGGTGTCCACGCCGAGGTCCAACACCTTGTTAATCTCGTTCTGTAATAGGAAGCCAAGATAGCGGACATTTTAATCATCGAATAATCGCTTGGTCACACGGACACGTTTATTTAATTTCGGGTGACGCTTACCTTAGAGGCGCAATCGAAGCCAACGCCAATAGCAGCCAGTACCTCCAACACGGGCAGACTATCGTTGCATTTGACAGCTAGAAAATTGAGAGAAGAGTTGCATAATTAGTCGAGAGTAGGTAAACTCGTCACCGATATATAGAAATAATATAAACGAAAATAGACGCGTCTCTCTCGTATTAATAGCATATGCGCTCGAGACATCCGAGAGAGCTGCAGCGTCCAAGTTTTCGAGCGTTTCATATATTGCCGCACTTACCATAGAATGGATGGACGCGGGGCAACTTTTCCTTCCAGATCTGGTGTTTGCGCACGATGTCGCCGACGTCGAGAACGTAGAACGCCTCCTCCTGCATTCCGCTCTCGGCGATCTCCTTGATGACCGACATGAACGTCGAGGTGCTCTTCAACACGTGGATACGTTCGTCCAGATTTACGTTCGTTACCTTCATTTTGGATGGCTTAACGTTTTTTTTTGTTTTGGATACGATGATTAATACAACACAAGGGGGATAAAAATATAATAATTAACTAAAATAAAATCTCTGCTAGGAGCTAGGCAGCAAACTGAAACAGAATAGAGAAAGACATATTGTTAAATGGTTGCAATGGAAATTTTTTTTTATATTTTTTTTTAATGAGATATTGTCAGAAAGGAATTTTTAAGTAGTTCGACATTCCGTTGCGTTTGATATTTTTCAAAACGTTATAAGCCAGTCGTAAGATAATAATTTCATTAGATAACACACTTCCGCAAACAATTTTTGACAATGATTAATAAAAATTGAAATCTATTATAAAGAAAGTTCTCGCAAAGATTGGACAAGTGGCTTACGACGATAAAAAAAAGAAAAACAACTCGTGGCAGTTGAAGCCTAGATCACGTATTTACACAAAAATATGAATTGTCCGCGCTTATAACAAACCTAAGAAACAAAATAAAAGTATATTTAATTGAAATACTTACGAGGCAGCTGTCAAGTAAAATGATGAGAATTGTGAAGGCGAGGTGATACTGATTTGGTTGTTAGGGGTGCTAGCAAAGCCACGGGGGCTCTGCGTTCAGGGCCAACTTCCAGTTGCCGCTGTTGATTAAGCACCCAACAGACTGGTCAACCAGCCTATCGCAAACGGAGCCCTGAAAGCAAAAAACAACAGCAACGTTAACACCGAGCGCCGTATCGTAGAGTCTTAGCATGGAGCCGTAGTACTGACACACGTCAGTACATCATGAGGAATACATTTGTACTGAATAGATTTTGATTCGGGCCGAGGCGGAGTAGCGCCTCGTTACGTGCATTAGAACGATTTTAATGATGATGAGCGGTCGCGTCGCCTTATCGCTCGACGATTCCGAGATGCTTATCCGTGACCGATAATAATAATGATGATCATAATTAGCGTATGTAAGAAGGAATGACAAGACAATGAGTATTTTAATACTCGTAGGAAGATCGAGAACGAGAGTGACTGAAGGAGAAAGTTTCCGGGAAATATATAAAAAGCGTAAGAAAAAGGAGTTATTTTGAAAAAGAATAGCTTTGAATTTTAAAGAGGCCAAGTCTCGAGTTCGTTCCGATTTAACGACTTGTGTAGCTCGACTCATTTGACGTTTTATCAGGTTAATTAAAATGAAAAACGTCATTGCCTGTATACATAAGTCGTAAGATCGTTAATTTGAGAAATTTTCAGGTATTATAATGACATCAAGTAGCTTTAACCAAAAGCGAGATAATGAAAAAAAAAATCACAAACGAGAGATACCGAGCATAACAACTCGGCTCGCAATTATAATTTTCCATTGATTTCAAGTAGCCGTTATCCATCGCTACCGAACGTAAAGATTACAAATACAATCTAGAAGCGTCATACTTTGGTCATTCGCGAGTTATGTAATTAGATTTTTATGCCCCCACGGGAGATTAGACAATTCGTGAACGAACCTTTACGTAGGGAGTAATTCTCGTGCCGTCCTGATTAGACATACAATAATCTCCAACCGATTTTGTGAAAATCCGGCGTAGTCGTCAAAGTAACTTGCGACCACGCTAAGTGCTTATTTGTCAACGATTAGTAGATCACACACAAACACGCGGACGCCGGTAAGGACTACAAACCGTCGCAACTTTCGTTGTCTTCACACCGAGACTCGTGAAATATACGAATTTTTATAATTACGATCGATCGATCGGGAAATTGCGCGAGACACGCTGGCGAACACTCACAATGTGCTTCTGAAAAGCTCCACGGCACTCGGCACGGTATTTATACGAGACTCGATAAGACGAGCGACAAATAATCAGTCGGCTAGTCCGTGATCCATAACACAGTGCAGGCTGCGCGCGGGGAGAGGGCGAGGATCGTCTGCGCGCAATTCTTATCAAAGCTTGTCTTGTGTCTTGTGACGAGTGATATATTGTACGCGCGCGCGCAAACTTATGAATTGCCGTTTCATGCCGCGTGTGTGTGTACCGAAGAAAAATAAAAAAAATGAATTCGCGGATGCACGCGTGGGTGGATTTTCCTTTCGCGCTCGCGAGCTTCAAGGGGGGTACGATCGCGAATGCATCATACGCGAGTTTCTTTACTTTATCTTGTGCAATTGCTGATGATGCGGCGCACTCGCGCGCGATGACATGCATTTTCTAGCTTGTATTATTTATAGATCATCGTAACTCGCGTGGAGAACATTTTTGCGCGTCGAGCTTTCGAATTGCGTCGAATCCTTTGGCTTGGCTGCAAGCTTGCGCGTGAGCGGGAACACACTATATACGTTGTTTTATATCAACAATGAAAAGTTCTAGGCGACCTGGTGATACGCATTACATATTATATCGCGTGAGAAAGAAAAAACGCGAAACAAACGACCCTGTCATAGAATATGAGCAATAACTTTTCTGGTAAATGTTGAAACGATCTGGTAACAGGCGGTTTAGAATTATTGCGCGTATGCGTACTCTGCTCGAGCGTGTACGGCTGTGTTTATCGACAGATTTGCAGTAAATTTTCCAATTCTTTCAAACAAAAAAATAACATGTCTGAAAAGTGTGTATGATTCTAGTCGATATGGTATGTTATTATCGCTTCATTCTGATGCATACGAGTAATACTGGATACGCTTTTCCAACTGATACATACAAACGCACCGACTCGAGCGATTGAAAAATAAAAACATCCGACGTTATTTTGCGTTATAATTTACAAATTAACGTCGCAGAAAAAACTCTGAAAACAGCTGCAAAGCTCCTCGAGCAGACATCGCTGACGACGGCAAACTCTCAATTTATCAAGTGACTAATTATGCCGCGCATTCTGCGAATGCCCCCCGCGCGCGTCGTGTCCCGCAGCGTCTAATCTGCATCTTCAATTAGACTCGTAATTGCACAAAGCCATTTTCTAATTGCTCCGGAGTGTCGCGCACATTCAATGACGTTATGCGTTCGAAAATTACAAAGAGAAAAGCTCCCTCGTGCGTGTATAACGAAACATCGTCTCGAATTATGAAATTATTAAATGGCATCTCGGTTCGCGTACGCTCCTGCGCGAGACGTGTGTGCCATTGATATTTCGGTTGAAATAAAAATCCGCTGTGCTCATTAAAACGCGCTGCACATGCACGCAAAAGTAGAGCGAGAGTCGTGTCAGTTCAATAAACTGAAACGAGGAGGAGAGAGAGAGAGAGAGAGAGAGAGAGAAATAAAAAAAAAGAGAGAGAAGAAGTAAACGCGCATATTCTCGCAATCAATCCTGATTAAGAAACTCGCGAACCCCGCGCAGCTTGTATGTCATATGCTACAAGCTGCACACATATCGAGACGCGTGCGAGAGAAGAGTGTGCGGAACGGCGAACGAGAGTCTCGATCGATCCCTTATATCATCATCTATATAGGCGATGATATAGCCTGTTGCGCGCACGCGTCGAAAAAAGCTTGCATCGGCTGGTGCCACCCTCTTGGCCGCCACCGGGTGGACGCGCGCATGTCGTGCAAAATAGTGCGAATCGCGAGGAGGCGAGCACATTTCGCGCAATCGCGCGTCGTCGCTATAAGCTTATACGCTACTCTAATTAATAAAGAAAGAGAACGAAAAATGCTCGAAATCTGGCACTCGAGGAAAAGAGCGATGCGTATACGAGGATAAAAGTCGGCTACCGGTTGAAACCAGTTGGCGTGGATAAGGTTTGACATTCCATCATCGTCGACACACAGATACTCGCGAGGGGAGAGACAATTTTTTGACGCGTGCAGGCACACGACTGCAAGAGCCCCGCGATACACATGACGCAATGTTACGTACGTGCACATTATCGGCGCGATACATATAGAGTGTCCAACGTCGTGTGTATTAAATGCACACAAACGATGCGCTCGTACACGGCTATCCTATAGCATTAGCACAAGGTCTTTCTTCGTATACATGCATTATTATCGCGTCGTACGTCAATGCGCCTCTCGATGCTATACATATAATAAAAATGTATAGTATTAAAATATAGTAGTACTTATAGTGTGTAATGAGAGAGCCGACGCACTGACCACCCAGACATCTGCGCCATCAGCTTGTGCCGCGCGAGACAAAGGAGATCACCATGCCATTCGTTGAACTTATGCGATAGCTTATCGCGATGAGCATTATACACAATAATGCTCCAGATACGATCGTGCCGTGACTTTATAGCAGTGTGTCATTGTTTATTTACGGTTTCTTTTTTCATGCTCGCGTATTGCAGAGATTTAATAATGTCGTGAAAGCTGAGCGAATCGATCGACGATGATTCCAAAGACTTTTCGAAACTTTTTAAAATGATTTCAAGTTCGTTATTTGGATAGTTGGCGAGTTTAAAATTAATAATTAAATGAACGAAATGAATAAATAACGTTGCGTTGTTTGGTTCAAAATACTAATTTTATATAAAACCCTCGGATGAGCAATAGTTTGCAAACACTCGAAGCTTCTGTATATTACATTATAATTAAATGAAGCAAGTAAATTCTCGGAAAGCTCTGTACAGTACTAACTTTGGCAGACGAGTTTATACAATCGAGAATAGAGCTCAATTAACCGCTTGGAACTATTTTTAATCAAAAGTACTTGAATCTATAGCTCGAGCTTATAACTTTTTTGTAAGACTGCATTAGCAGTATATTACAATCATTAATCTATGATAAAAATTCTATTTTCGATATTAGATAAAAGTAAAAAAACAATAAAGTTACGTCAATGGAAAATCCATTAAAATTCATTAAAAGAGAATTATTGTGTTTTTTTCTTGTCAAACTGCGTAAATTTAAATACACTTTTAATGATTTGCACTCTGCTACAATCAATCTAGCAAAAATCATTCAAATCGGTATTTAAATTTTTATTTAAAAGTCGCAAGCTCTCGCGCGATATCGCTCATTCAAGAAAATAAAAAACGCAATAACGAGAATAGTGGAACAAAAATGAGATCATTAGGTAGTAAAGATTGAAGCAGTCTACCGAGAATCGTCAAAGCCGATAAAGCCGTCATAGAAGTATACTGGGAAAGTTTAAATATTGTCTTTTTTTTCCTTATTTACGTACGAATCGCTTGAGTGCATTCGTAATTCAAGCATTACCCAAAAATTGAGTTATTGTCTCTAAACATCTCGAGAGCTTGGTATTGAACTATAAATTTACGACAAATGTAAATCGAGCGGGGAAAAACCAGAGAGCTGTCAATTGAGCCCGACCCCGCCTGCTGTTTCGGAAACGAATGACTTTTCCTGGAAAACGCCAGACAATGCAAACGTACACATATGTACAGGAGAGAATGTATATAGTCCAGATAATTTTTCACGTGATCGGTCGGTGCCTCGAGGAGAAAAAAAAATTGTGCGCGAGAAAAGAAATGTCTTCAACGGAGGGATTCTGACCTCCCGATTGACGATGCTCATCGATGCATAATACGAGCGCGCGTGCCGGAATGCGTGCGCCGCGGCGCGCTGAAAGCTCCGCAACACCTCGCGTGCGCCCGCGTGCAATCATAATAATAACAATGGATAACGACTCGATCGTGCAACGCGAGAAGAGAGCCTATAACCGTCCGTAAATTGCTGCAGCCCGCCTACCCCACGGCTACCGACTATACACTTTCTGCATCGCGGAGCACTCTGCTGCATGCAAGTGTGAGCTAGCGACGCGCGAGCTTGAGCGGCGACGACGACAAGAAGAGTAAGTTCAATCAAGTATATGAGTATGGCATCGTGTGTTGTGACTTGTGACTCGTGTTTATACCACATGCTCGGTGACGCTCGGACGATACGATATACACACATGCGCACACATACGTATTAAACGCGTATTTATACACGCGCAAAATTTTATTATAATATTATAGTCCGAGTTTATCGCGAACGATAAAATAGTGTGTAAGGAATGACTCGGGTATAAAAACGGACATATAGCGCGCGGCCAAGCGATCGAGCAGCGATGATTCTCCGAGTTATAAGTTTTATTACTGAGTCACACACGCGCGCGCGCGCCTGTACTTATCTCGGAGTCGGAGCGCTCTCCGCAGCACGCAGGGATGCACTTTTCATTATCATGTGGCTTACCTTGTCGTAAGATCGCCACCCTGCGGGCCGGAACTCGGTTATTGACGGAATGTTGATGGTTTTGGTCGACCGTCGTGCAAAAATCAGTCAGAACAGACTCGCTCGGTGTACTGGGCTGCGACTAGTCGACAGCCAGGCCACCACCTCGTTGCTTATCGGGCTCGGCTCCAGGGCAATTCGGACCATTCGTTCCAGCGCTTGCAAGCGGCGAACCACGAGGATGACGCTTTTTTTATTTTTCTTGCTTTTTCGGCTCTAAGAGAGTGAGAGAGACACTCTTGATACACACTGCACAGACTGCGACTTGCGCTGAGAATAGAGGCGAGATTCTGCGGAGCACAGATTCCAATGACGTTTAGATATAGATATATTTCGATGTGTACTGTGCGCGGTCGTCTTCTACTCGCTACTGTAATGCTCTTAATCGGGCAGTAGCAGCAGCAGCAGCAGCAGCAGCAGTAGCGAAGAGAGGCGACAAATAAGTATACAAAATGTGTTCGATTGGACTTACGTGAAGTAGTTGTACACGAAGAGAGGGGGGGGTGGCCGCCGTTCGTTCGGTGGACACAACTCCGAACTCCGAAAGTTTCACTCTCAAATGGGTATATCGCTCTGCGATGAACGATGTATTAATTTCCAAGTTATCTACTGCACTGGTAGGTCTTCACTGAGTGCCGTCTCGATACACGATGTGTGTAACAGAGGATAAGAAGCACGCGCGACTGACGACGAGACGCCACAGTAGCAGCGATGAAAGCGGAGCTGACGACGACGACGACGAAGATGACCAGTGGCGACACTTGCGTCCAAGCCGAAAATATCCACTCGCGCGAAGCGGAAATATTCCGTACCTCTCTAACGCACACACAGCAGTAGCAGCAGCAGCAGCGGAGAGCTCCTTCGATTAGCTACACACACGCGCGCGCACACACATGGACGCTATATCACGGACTGTGACTGGGTTAAGCCAACTACGCGCTATATTGTAGTGGCTCCGGAGTAAAAGAACCGACGCCAGGTGGCGCTTGATTCTGGAGCACAGGGTCGTCTGCTATATAGCTACAATATGGATAGAACCATTTAATCGTACAGGCGAAAGCTTCGATCGGCGAAGTTCAAAAAGCAATGGTCGAGTGTTATACAGCTGTCACATGCGCATGAGTTAAAAGCCGCGGTGATTAATGAAAGCGAGATTATGTTCGGCGCGATCGGCGCGTAATTCAAGCTTGCATTAAAATTAAGCCTCTAATGAGATAAAGAGGCAAGACGTTTGACTTCTTATTATTAAAAAGCGATGAGTGTTGACGAATTCGGAGAACAAGTTAACGAGATATAAATGACACATGAGTTTCGGCTCTTTTGTTCAAATCTAGTCGCGTAATCGACCAGTCAAACCATTGATTGATTGATTGATTGATTGATCGATTTATTTATTATGGGACCGGGGGGTAGAACCCCATGTGGCCCCGAAGTAAATTACAGATAGTAAATGAAAAGAATTATAAACAAAATACATAAATACAATGAGCAATTAGCGCAGATGGGTAATACATTATGGTGTTATTATCTAATTTTATGCAGCGGAAAATAATAGTTGGAAATATATTTTAATCAAGGCAATTATGTAATGAATGAACAGACATTTTTATTTTAAATTACTTAACAATTTATTTATTTTCGATCGAAATCGAAAGCTAATATAAACTTCACTTTTATAATATAAAAAACCATTATCTAATGGCTAACATCTCCATTTCTTCGTATTTACAAATATTACACAAATGTATATTCCAATACTTGAATATTTATAAGAGCTTCTCCAAATCTTTGAGCGTGAGTAATGAAAATTTGGGCTCGTACTTCTTAACGCTGCAAGCGTGACGAATATTTTTTATGATATCTCTCAGGCATCTCCTGGCTTCATTGTCAGTGCTTCCTAACTTTTTACCAGCTGATAATAGCCAGGATGTCAAGCAATATGATTTCATGAGAATCAAACAACATTTGGGTAATTTCGTTGCAGACCTCATAATTTGTAATATGAGAACCTGAAATATAAATTTTCCAGTTACGTTTTATGCATTTTTTGAAATAATTTTATATTAAACAGTGCAAGACTTACCTTTGACATTTTATCACATAATATGGAATTATAAAACATGAACAATGTATGAAACACCATTTTTCTAAAAGCGATATTCATGTCTTCGTCAGTTTTCAATCCATCTCTTACAACTCCTAGAATCCAATGCCTATGTGCTTTAAAATCAATATCTGAACTATTGAATAATGTTATAAATTCTGGTATGGTATTAATATCTAATACTGGTTTAGCCATTAGAAAAGATTGAATGGGTTTATATAATTTATCTGTTGGCGATCTCATAACTAATGATGCTTTTGCTAAAAATGTAGAAACAAATCCATTCAAACGGAGTTTTTCTATCGGCACTCCTGACTCTATCATTCCATTTCTCATCAGCTGAATAAAATTTAACCACAGTTCTTTCTCTTTTGAACTAATGAAATAAATGAAAATTATTTTATTTTATATTTGTATTGTTGCTATTGTGTTTTTTTAAATTAAAAATTATATAAACTTAGTATTACCTTGTTGCATCTACGAGGAAATAATATTTACTAATAACAGATAAAGCCATTCCACGCACTAAACTGCTTGTACTACTGCAAGCAGCAATAGCCAAAGCAAATGCTCCAGAATGAATGACTTTATGGCAGGGTACAACATTATGAGGTTCCAACAATTGTTGAAACAATGGGAGATAAAATTGAGGATCATACATTTTTTCTCCAGAATCAATTTCAATCACTTCAGTCTGCAATCGATAAAAAACCATTAGAACCTTTTCTTGCAGAAAAATTATTATTTAAACTTACCAATGAATTTCTGTGAACAGGGAAATTCTTTATTGTATTTGAAACTATATCAGATTGGAGTAAATCAAAAACTTCACTTGTAGAAGTTTGTCTAAATAAAATAGTTTCAGCCCCTCCTTTGACACTATAATGAGTGGCTGCAGCTTCTCCCCATAAGTATGGTTGATACTTACTAATGTCAAGACCGTTTTTTTCAAAGTTGAACAGGATCTATAAATATTAATTTTGAATACAGAAAACTTTTGGCTTTAATACTTCTATTCTAGATTTAAATTTAAATTTACCTGAAGAATCAACTGGTCACTTCTTGATAAAGTAGCTCCATATGATGCTAAATATAATGTTACTTGACTTTCAGCCATAGTTGTATTGTTTTTTTTTGTCAAAATATAAAGTAATTCTATAAGGTCATCTGTAAAATGTATAAATTTTTGTCATTATTAAAGTAAAAAAAAATTTATATAATAATATAATTGTCAAGCTTACCTTTTAAATTGGAATTATTCAGCATTATATTAATAAACTCAGAATGTGAAGTAGTCATTTCAAAGATAGTTTTTACGTATACTTCCTTACAATCATCTTCATAAGCTAAATCACAAGTAACTAATAAAGCTTTCAAAACCAATAATTTTTCGGTTTCAGCGTTTTTAGTACTCTTTAAGCCAACTTTCAAGCATATACGAGTAAATAATGGCCAAGAATGATTTTTACTTATGTCTTCAAAGTAGCTAACACTGTTTTTCGTTTTTAGATCAGTGATTGCTTCAATTAAACTTTGACAAATATTATTCAACTTTGATGTATTTTTGGGCTCTTTTTTTAACACAACGAGAGTAATACGTAAAAGCACTTGAACCAAACTTTTCAAAGCATCTGGATTCACTGGTAAACTTTTTATGAAAAGTTTCTTTAATACTTGTATGTGAATTTCTTGCGCATGATCCAATATCTCTCCATTTATTAATATTGCATCACACATTTTTTTGCATTCTTCTGGATCTAAAATAGATATCAAGCAGGTATTAAATATATGAAATGAAAAATATCACGTGCTATATTATAAAATTTAAAATATTTACCAAAACAATTATCAATGAAGTATCCAATTGCACCAATATTCATTTCAAGACATTCACTATTTGTCTTCAATGTTGTTACATAAGTAACTATTTCATCCTTATACAAATTAAATAGTTTACTGATAAACTTTTTTTTCCATTTCTGCTCTACACTTTTTGATAGAATGTAAAAAAGCACATCTTGTTGCTGGTAGAAATCTTCATTATTTTTTACAAATTTCATAAATAAATCCATGCACACAGAATTCTCAAATATTACTATAGCAAATATTTCTTTGATCAATGTAATTTTCTTAGATGTCAATAAAGCCATGAAGATATCTGAAAAGTATTTGAAAACAAAATAATTAGTAATTGTCCGCGCAGAGATCTTCAAACGTGGAAAAAAATACTCACTTTCATCGATTGTTGTCAATTGTTGAGGACATTTTACAAAAAGGTCTCTAATTGCTGAAATCCATGAAGCCAATTCTACATCAAATTTCAACAGTTCTGTCATACACAGTAAAATTTTTCCAACTGTAACATTTTGCATGGCCAGACTTTCAGTTGTTAGTTCAAACTTTAAAATTCTATTCATAAGTTCAGGAAGCATTATTCCCCAAACAGAAAGATTCAATTCATCTTCAGTTAAAAACTTTTCACAAGGTAAAGACATGATATCTTCAACAAATTCCTTTGCACTTTCAATATTCATTTGTAAAATATCTATAATATTTTCAGAATAATGTAAACCTTTTTTTAATTTATTTTCTCTTTGCTTTGAAATAGAAGACTTGAAATTTTCCACAAATTTATTTTGGTAAGGAACCATTAGTGGTGCTATCATTTCTTGTTTGTTCATTTCAAAAAACATTTGGCAAATGTTTTTGAAAAATTGTGTACCATTACTGGTGCTTGCAGTTTTCTTTTTAGAAAGACCATTGAAAAATTTTAAAATGACTGGATTTTTAAAAATTGAAGAAGCACATTCTCTTAAGAAACCATCAGAATCTTCTTGAAGAGCCCTACCCATTTTCAATATTGCTGATACAGTTTTTTCAATTAGTTCTAATTTTTCTAATTGACCATTCAATTGCTTCATACTTTGCACAGCATAAAAAATAACTAACTTTAGTATATACTTCATTTCAAATCTAGTTAAGGCAAAAGTATGCCGTTTTTTTTTAAACTCTACACTCAATTCATTGTTACCAGACCCAAAATTGCTATCGTCAACTGAAGTTGGTTGATCTGTACCAAGTAAAATTTCACTTATTATGGCAAATACTGAGTTTTTGGCAAAAGGTTCACCGATAACTAAAGGTATTTCACCCTCTAACCAACTTTTTATGTAACTTAAAGCTGGAATATCAATATCTTTTAATAAAAGTATCAAATTATTAGGTGATACTTGGCAGTGCAGAGTATGGACTAAAATATGAGACATGTACAAAGATTCAGAAGTAGTTGAATGCTTCTGCAAACTTTGAACAGCTGCATTAAGAAGTGGTGATATAGATATGAAAGGAAGCATGTTGTTTTGCAAATCATTTGGATTTTCCTGACTCACAATGTCATCATCTACATCCATTCTATCTTCTTCTATGCAAGGAAGCTGCTTATACTTATCAGTATTTTTACAGACACGTTTCACTATTTTAGCTAGCCATTCAGCTAATTCTGTTTTTTCAAGTTTGTTTTCAAACTTGGATATACTATCAATCCAAATATCCAAACCATCAAAGCCATCAAATATTCCAGAACTGTTTATTAATAAATTCAAAGTTATACGAATATCTGAATCAAGTGAAACATCTACACATCCAATGTTTGTCAATAAAAATGTCAGAACCATACCAAAAATATCCTGAAAAAATATTAAGCATAGAGTTGAATTAAAATAATTAATAATTACTGAGTATATGAGTTATATTAAAAAATACTTACCATTGATGCTGAAAAGCCAGACGGGTTCAAATGTGCAAGAATACTGAAAGCTTTGATTTTTAAATTCTTAATATCCTCTTCACTCTCACTCATTTCTGAATTGTCAGTTTCTAAATTCTGAGAAAATGCTTTCATCCATGCATTTGCAAGAGTATCAAAAGCAGGCACATTCTGTTTCAAAACGAAAAAAAATTTTGATAAATAAATCTTGATCAAAATTTTATATTTTTTGATGTGTTTAAAAACTTACATTTTTTACGTGATCATCAGTAACCATTTTAAGCTTTTTAAAATCATCATCATTTACTTCAGAATTTTCCATGATTTTTAAAAATGATTCCACTTTTTTCATCATTGTATACATGAGTTTTATAGTTTTATAATGTATACAGGTATTTTCATTTTCTAGAGAAGGCACAACTGCACTTTTTATCACATTTGGAGGCATGATCAAATTTAATAGAGCCTCAGTGAATTTAATAGGTGACATTTTTTCAAGGCATGATTTAAGACATTTTTCTACATCTAAATTGTCAATGATCTGCAAATTATATTTAAAAATTAGTTTTATGAAAACATTTGTTTAAAATTTTTACTGCAACATAAAAATATTACCTTTCCAATAAACTGCAATGCAGTAGCCCATTTTGCAGAAACTCTAGGCTCTAAGTATGGGTCCATACTAATGAATTGTGATGAAATTAAATCTGGACAAGAAGCTAAAATTTCAACTACTAATTCTGATGGTTTTTCATGTTCCCAGGGTCTTTCAAGATTTTGCAATATTACATTTATAAAATGATTGTGTTTGCGACCACTATCTGTTCCTAAACTATGATCATGAAAAACAATACCATAACGACTGGATGTCATAAGCGTTATTAATAATTCATGCAGAGCATTTAAAGTCATCTGAAAGAGTTAAATAAAAATGTAAAAATATTTGAAAAGTAAAGAAAATGTGTAATTAATAGTAAAATACTTACATTTTTTTCTTCTGGATCAACAGGTTCCAGAACTTTATCAGTTTTTCTAAAACCTTGCCAATTTTTAGGTCCTTTCCAGTTATACAAATTTACAAGAGATTCAATTGCTGATGTATTAAATAAGTGTATCTTAATAGTTTTTGTGATAGAGGAATTTTCTAAAATGTATTTCTTTAATGTTTTCAGAACAAGCTGAACAATTTCACAGCTGTCATAAATTAAATCAGCAAATATACTGGAAAGAACACCTCGCTTATCTAATAAAGCTTTAATTGTGGAAGAATTTCCTTCAATAATGAATGATAACAGAAAATGAATGAAGCATGTTCTTACATTTTCTGGATCACTTGGTTTAGTATGACTGGCTAGTGCATCAACAAGCATGGGATGCAAAGTAAGATGGTTCAACAGTTCACGAGGAAAAGTTTTGCCAAGTGACACTATGGCAGTTAATAATTTTAACACTGCCTTTTTATGTTTTGGTTTACTGTGACTGGACATCATAGAGTGTATTGTTGCCATGTGAGAGTTCATTATTTGCCGGCATCCTTGTTCAGCTGCATTCAAATAATGTGGATGTTTTGCCAGAATTCTGGGAAAAAAATTATTCTCAATACCAATTCTTAAGTTATTCAAAAAAACAAAATAACTTACTTGATAATGGCTGTTGTTAAAGCTGAAAATACACTGCACGCATTATCAATATTCTTCTTCTCAGGCGATTCAAGTAATTGGAGTATGCCTGACACATTATTAGCTTCTATCAAACTTTTAAATTTGGAGTCCGGAGTTGTTTTTTCTGTCACTTGTTGTGATTCTGTGGGTTGTTGTGGTTCTGCAAAAAATCATCAATTATTATCTCATCATAAGTGTTGTCTATAAAAACACGTGAATCAATTCCCAACCTGAATCCATGTTTGTCATTTTTATGTGAAAGATGAACTTTCAACACGAATTTTTACAACTAATTATTACAATTTTACAATAATCACTAGACGTTCTTCAACAACACGTGGGCAATTTTTCATACACAGTGCACTTCGTAGACACACGTGCATAAAAGATTCGCAGGCGTGCTCTGCTGGTGGCCCGGTGGGTTATTGGGTATGTGGTGGGAGCAGCCCGCGCAAGCGCTCATAACCGGCCCAAATGGCGCGGTAACACCGCTGAACAAACCGAAGAATTTAAAAGGCCCAAGCAAGAAGCAACCGGTTCGGGGTTTTGTTTGAACAAAAAACTTTATAAATCTGCGAGAATCGCACGCGGCTGCACGATAGAGTTTCTTTCTTCGACTTTGCATTAGCATTTTGTATGCTAACGGTAGACGGCGTGTGCGATTCGATCGACGCTGGTAAACAATCAGTGGATAATTTGTTCGACAGTCAATCGCGGTAAGTAAGATATAAAATAATCGAGACATCGCTTGATCATTAGAATATGTTTGCAATCGAATGATATCGTTCTATCTTATCTAGAATTAACTATAACATTGCTTGTTGGCTCTTATTTTAACAATACAATACAATATAGAGTGTTCCAAAAATACTACTTTGCAACCATAATATGATGGCATATTGTACTCCATTTTGTTTGTATAAGGTACAGTGACTGTCCAAACTATGCTCCGATGCATCAGCATAACGTAAACAAAAATACAAGACCCCAACATGAACCGAATTACTCGAACTCTAGCAGAAAGAAAATATTTAGCGGGGAGAGTAATCCAAACACGAGTCATATGCATTATTTCGCGGGTATTACAGTGCGTGCGCTCTGGTCCTCTACCGATCTCAGTAACTAAAAGAATTTAAATTTAGAATGGAATTCGCTTGTAGCAGTAGGATGATCAAGTCCTAATGCTACATTCGAAATATTCTGGCTCAGCAGTATTATCACGCGATCGTGTTTCTTTTTGAGCTGTGTCCATAAACCAACGGAGCAAAGTCTTGGAACAGTATAAGATTATCGTTCGTGTTATACTTTTGTTCTGTTACTATTTCTTTTCTATGACTTGTAAGTATGTCGAACATTTATTACCATAAACGAAAATTATCGCATGTGTTTTTACTTTTTATCGCCACTCTTTTGAAGCATGACAAAAGAAACGAGTTACAGAATATAGAACCACGAGTGCAAGTAGTTCGAAGAAATACGATATTGCGCGTATACTAAACATGCACGAATTTGCGATACTGTACTTCACGATAATACATCTCGAACTTCCTGTAGCTTTTGTAGTTTCACAGTATTGCAAGCACTCTGTTAGAGAGCACAGCATCCTTTGTACGAAATTTTAAGTTTTACCATTGAAAAATGGTTGATTTAAAGAAACGAATTAAACATTATTTTTTTAAATTTGTTTTTAAGAAAATGTTTGCAGAAACTCGTCCAGTATCCAACGAAATTAATTATATTCTCTTTGCTTTACTTCTAATAAGTAAGTATATTACAACAATTTTATTTAAATATTAATAATACAATGTGATTAATAAAAAAATTAATAACAAAAGTGACATGAAAATTATTTTTTTAGTTTCTGGCTATAGCTTGAACTCCAAAAATTTTGCTGAGACTATCAGAGATACATGTTAGTATTTTTCTATTTAATTAAAAATACTTTATATCGTTCACAAAATTTAATTGATTAATTTTAATAATTTCCAATTCTTTTAGTTCAACTTTTTTTAGTTATTACATCTGCTTTGCTTATTTGCGTGATATTGTATAGAATAAGATTATTTCTAGAAGAGTTGATTTTTATTAACTCTGAATACAATGGAAATATTAAGTCAGTTATTGCAGCAACTATGTCTTTCAATATGCCCTCATCAATTGTACTTGCCATTGTATTCTTTTCAGCTCTTGTAAGTGAATTTTATTTGCATTTACAATTTAATTATATTTTATCTTCTTATATTTGTAAGATTATAAAGATTTTAATTTTAGTCATGTGTCATCAACACTAAACTTGATATTGGTAATACTATTCATTCAAACTTATGGGCTACATTATTAACTTTCACTAGCTCATTACTTCTATTATATACAATAAATATTGTAAGTAAAAATTATCAAAAACTTTAACAACAATTTTTTTTAAAAATAACTCAAATGATTCTAGAATGAATGCAGAAGACTGAAAACTGAAGCAATATTTACTGCAGATGGGCTGGATGCAGGTACTGCAATGGCCTGCAGTTATTTTTACGGATACTTGAATATTATTTTACCAGCAAGCGGAGGAACTGAAAGAACAGGTTTGATATTAAAATCAATTAATTTTTTATTATTTAAAAATATTAAACAAATATTTTTATATGCAGGAATGTTGAACTTACTGGAAAATTTTGAAGCTGCAGAGTGTAATGGTAATCCAAACATTTCAGTTCCAGTTAAAAAAATGTTCATTCTCATACCTTCATCATCATATATTCCTACTGATCTCAAAGACATTTCAGATGGATGGCTAGAACATTCAAAAGTAAGAAATAATTATGAATTTCAAAAAGATTCTATTGTAACTTGCTATGATTTTAGAATTTAGAAATGATTGTAATGGATAGAGCTGGAGTGAAGAAGAGGACTTACCACAATACAGTTTACAAGTTACACACTGAAGGACCAAAAACTCGTGGTAAATCCATTTTTCTTGCTACTGAAGGAGCGACTCCTTTAAAAACCTTTTTGGAGACTAAAGATCAATCATTGCGTTATGGAGGTAAGATTAATGAAATTGTTAATAAGTAATATAAGGTAAGGTGATGATATATTTCAATCATTTTTAAAGGAATCTATAAGGAATTTAACAGAGAAATTGTAAGAAATTTTTATCTGACTCTAAAGAAGCTTCTTGCTGATAATCCAAGTTGTGGAGATTATTGTGAACTTGTTTATTATGAAGGTAGTATCAGACTTTTTGATTTTCTAATTTTATGAACTATTTTAAAAATTATTCAAAAAATTGATTTATTACAGATTACATTGGAGGGAAAAAAGTTAACCCAGCACATATATTATTAAAAAGAGTAAAAAATATACTTTTAACTGAAGCCAACTTAAATAAAAAATAAAATTTGAATACTCTAATAAACTCAGAAGTTGATCATTTTTATAAAAAAAAATGTCCACTCATTTTCATTTTCATACCATAGGAAGTTTTACCGGCAGGTTTTAGAAAGAATAAAAATCATCATATCAAGTTTTGAAATAGTTATTATTCAACATTTAATTTTAAAAATAAAAGGATTTCACCAATCAATCTGTTATGACAGTTTCACGATTTTCAATATATAAAAAAGACACAAGATATATAAAAAAGAAACTTCTTATTAGATCATTGAGCTTTGACGATATTATATACGTATTTTTTACTGGAAAGAGAAAATTAACCAGATATTCAAACGTTGAAAAAGGAGCTATTTATCTTGAGCTGCAGATAAAACGTATGTATGCGTTTCTGATATGACATCAATTATCATTGCCATGATTCGGAAAACATCACTCTCTTATTAAAAGTTTGTGTCACCTAAACGTTTTACGACGAAACAATTTTTATAATATACGATACCTTGGTATCCGATGAAAATCAAATACGTAAAGAAAATGTCCTATATTCATTTAAACTTGAAAATGTCTACCATCAGTTCAGTCACTTAAATTATGCCATCGTTTGTCACATCGTTACACATTAAATACAAAATAAAGCAAAAAAATAATTTATGAAATAGCATGCCTAATTATTATATAACTAAAGGCGATGCACTTCGCAAAATCATTTTAAAAATGATCAATCGTTACTTTTTTTTGTTACATATTACATATTTACAGTTGAATCTTATAGTATTAATAGTAACATTATCGTAGTACATAATAAATGAAGCGGATAATACCAACATAATCTTCAGATTATGAAATCGAATCAAGCAATTATTATGGTAATAGTAAGAAACACATACGAATCGGCTCTTAGCATATCGCCTCGATGCTGCTCTTGCGCCATGAGTGTGCAGCATTTATAGTCTTCTGATGCGTGTGTCGTGTGATTATTTGTACTTTTTCTTACATGATGATTGAAAACAAATATCTAAACATACAATATTTCGAATCTATAATAATAGTTTATTATAGGTATTTAGTCCATAACATGTATGCGAGCTCGGAAGATTAACTGGCAAAAATGCGTGTGTAACAAATTTAGCCCAACCCAGAACGAATAATAAAAAGTTTTAATCACATTCAATAGAACTCATACAGCTTCGGTGTACGAAATGAATTAAAATAAACGAAGCGTAACTTAAAAAAAATAATTTGAGATTCGGTAGAAGTTTAATTCTACACAAGATCAGGTTTCCATTCTTCAATTTTCGTTTTTCTTTTCACATTTATCATCTAACGATTTGTCGACATGAAGATTATTTGTAACAAGTATTTGTTCGAAGTAATCGGAGCAAGACGTTTGAAGGAAAAAAAGGAAAAAAGTTCGTTTGTTTTCGCGAATAGATGTGTTTTTTTCTTTACTTTCATAGCAAGCCAAAACAACTTCATTATCCTTAGCTGTTACGTGAGATCATCAAGTGTGACATGTAGTCATCTGTTTTCTTAGACTTTTAACTTATTTTCTATTTAAAAAATGAATATCATAAGTACACAGTAATCAATGTTGGAAGTAAATTAATGTTCGCCTATTTACTTTGTCTCCCACGAGGAAGACTAGAGTATAATATACTATAGTATTTAATTATTTTATTTCCCTAATGTTATCCACATTTTTCAATGAACTTTTTCAGGAGTCGGGATAAGTATTATTCAATGAATAATTAAAGAGTCAAATAATTGAATAAACAACTCATTACCACGAGAATAATTATAGTCTTTTGAATGCTTATAGGAAGAAGGTATTTGCAGTCTTGATTTAATTTGCCCATATTTGTGCTTTCCGTATGTAGATGGTACAACTAATTCGATGTTTAAAAGTAAAAATTAATACAGGAAACTCAACATTTTATCCACGTAACAATTCTTAAAAAAGTCTTAAACAATAAAAATGAAAAATTGTAAAATAAATTAAGTACATCTCACTCGTCATAAAATTCTCCACAAGAGAAATTATGAAAAATTTAGAAACTTGCCCGTGCAATGAATAAAAAATTATCGATCATGAAATTCGTCGACCTAAGTACGGAGATCAAATATATACGTCGAATTACATAGATATTTTACTTAAAATACAATAAAATTGCAAGCACAGCTTGTAATTCAAATAGTAACGATACAATTTTACACATACTTATCAATTGAATATAAGCAAAAAAATTTAATCGGGCTTTACATCGCCCTCTAACGTAATATTTTTATGTAAAGCATCGAACCTATGACAAATTAACAGAAAACAATTTCTTATACTAATAATAACAACCTTGTACATTTGTGAAATTGGATTGAGAGTTGTCTTGGCTTGCAACAACTTAATTTACCTACATAAATTTCATATAACAGGTGAGTGTGACTTGAGATTTTTCATAAAGTAATTATATTCTTGAAAATTCAAATTATAAGTTGAACTATAATTCAACCTGCTCTGCATTTTTTCATAATGTTATCCTTTTTTTATTAGTATTTGTTGCAATCATAGGTGATAACGTCATATGCCATTGGATCGTTTCATTATTTATGAATTAGAAAAATAAGTTGATTTTCATTTATTTCAATTATTCTTGCGCATTCTGTTAAAATTTTTTTAGAATTTTACACTTGTTCGCGGTATCAAATTTATAGTTACTAACACATGCTATTATTCAGTCTAAATAAGCGAGTATATTTTCCAAAAGCAAAATTTTACGTTTGGATTAAAGATAAAATAAAAATTCAGATGGTTGTGATGAGTCGTACCAGAATATTTGATTTAAAGAACTGTTGATTCAAGTGCTTTGATTTAATGGTATAAAAAAAGAAAATAATACTCATTTTAACTCTTTAGATATTTTATATTTGTGCCAGTTGAACTTTGTTAATTATGACTAGTCATAGTATTCATGCTGCAATGGCATTATTTTAATTGTCATGAGAATGCTATTAATAAGATAATAATATTATTTCAGTCAACGTTGTCTTGAATAAACATAAATATATCACACAATTTTTTACTTTCTGCTTGTAGTTTATAATAATTCAACGGTCGCGAGAAGTATTTAAAAATAAAGGTACAGTAAAATCATTCAAAGAAAACGGCGCAACGTTCCTTTTCATTAACGATAATCAAATCTCATTTCAAGCGACCAAACATACTTGTTAAAAAAACTTATGATAAACTGAGCACAAATACACATTAATTCGCATTTTATAAGCGAGCATGAATTATTTTAATGATGATGAAAAAAGACAAAATGTTTTACGAATTCCAAATTCAAGTTGTTATCTTGATAACTGTTGATATCTAACCATCGATTTCCATATTCTCAGTTCCGAAATGAAAATAAATATTATAATAATCTGATTTTTTGTCTATGTAATAAAGTACATATTAACAATTTTTCGACCAATATAGTTTTTATACCATTTTTAGTGCAATTTAATATTTGAAGATCTTGGAAAATGAAAATAAAAAACTTGAAAAATAATGTTTTTGCTAACTCATTCAATCCTGAAACCCTAGAACACTGTTACGAAAGATATAAAAAATGAATTCTCATACTTGCATAAACCTTGCAAAAACATATTAAGACGATAAAATAAGTTATCTTATGTAGTGACAAAACATAAAATGACTTTGAATATGTTAAGGCAAGAAAAAGTTAAAATTTTTTTTAAAGATTAATAATCTCATTTCGGTATATCAATTCATAACAGGAGTACTAAATGGGCAACAAATAGAAGTATAAATTTTTATAATACGGTGTAATCAAATTATACCGATACTTTTTACACCCGCCAAAATATTTTTTGAAAAAATATTAAAATATTCAACGTCTTTGTAGCAGAGCTTTATTATGTCTGTGTAAGTATCTAAAAACTGATACGGGCTGTAAGTCACTCAATACATGTATATTAGCAAACAAAAAAATGATATTTTTTAAAAAAATATTTTTAAGAACAATATTTGCAACATGTATTAAGTGTACTTTCACTAAAAAATAATATTCACGTTATGGACTGTAAATTTTGATTTCCAATACAAAGCTCCTAATGCCTTGCCTCTTTATTTGGAACAAGTACTAGCTTACAACGGTGTTTTGAAATGATCTCTAAATGATTCAATGATAGACTAGCTTTTTAAAACGACTCTCATTTATCTGATTTTTTAAGTCGTTAAATAGTTTCGAAGTAAATCTGTGGGTTGATTACTTTATCGAGATCATAAGCCCGTAAATCATAAAGCTTTTATCAAGGATTTTTACTAGCTATTTCGAAAATTTTTAGAATAAAATACATACAAACGTCAGTACATAAACATTTTATGTGATTGAAAACTAAAAAAATATTCTTTTATTTTTGAGATTACCACGGAACGATGTATAGCTAATAAAAATATTTTATCACAACTTTTAACGGTTTCGATGAAACCACCCCACAGTATTAGAAAAGAATTACCGATGATCAATATCTACAATACCAGATCCTACTTTTTATAAATTGAGTATGTTAAGTCTGGTAGATGTAGAAAGAATGAATCACGTTTCCGCTTCTCTACACGAAATACACATATTTAAAATTTGCACGTCTCACATACCTAGTTTGGAACACCTGGGCATTACATTTCGAAAATAATAATAAATTAGGGTTAAATGGGCAATTCGATTGAAACAAACGATGACTGTTACGAAACGCATTTCACCGATTAACACCCTGATCTTTGGGTCTTTGCCAATTTGAGAGACATGTCTTTAAAACTAGGTAGCGGTTGATGCTACCAATGATGATGATGACGTTTTAGGTGTGTACGCTGTAGCGTTCGGATCCAAATTCGACACAGTGCAGCCTGGACAGGGACTTTCGTTTGCGCGAATCTGCATATTAACTACATTAACGTCATTGTTCAAACCACGCAGTTTTGACGTTGAACATGTAGGAGGAGTTGGGCCAAACTTTTGTGGCATGACAGCTAAATCTTGTGCTATAACAGCCTTTAATTGTTCCAAATCTTTCTCTTGCCTCTGCATGGTCTCTATTTTGGAAAGTAAAGTGAAGATTATAAGTAATATTCCTAAGTATACCCGATCTTTATAAAATCTTTACTTACTCTCTTTAATTTCTAATTCACGTTTAGCTTCTCCAAGGGCAGAGAAGAGATCTAATTTAATGCGAGTTTCGGCGCTCAAAGCTTGCTGCAGTTCATCATAGCTCTTTCTCAAGTTATTGATCGTTGCCATGATTGACGCATGATTGCTATGGTGCTCCATACAATAGGCTTCCTTGTTCTCGTAGCTTTTGCATCTGCACAAGAAAAAAAAATCAAAATTAAATAAATTCATAGAGATTTAAATCATTTGTACTTGAAGCAAAATTTTAAATGACGTTTACCTTTCACCTAAATCTGAAAGCTCACGACGTAATTTTTTAAGCTCTTGCTCCATTTGTGTGCGTCGAGTTTTGCACGAATCCGTGCATTCTTGGCGGGGAGGCGGTGGCGGAGGAACCGCTGATAGCTGTTCTTCGGCTATCCGTCGATTTCTTCGTTCTGTGTTTAAATTCGTTTCGACTGCTTGACGCTGTCGACGCTCTTCCACTAATTTCCGCTCCAATGTACTAATAGTTTGTTTATCCATTTGTCGAGAATTATTCAAACCGTGGATTCTGTGTAAAAATATAATACATTTTTTTTAAAGACACATTAAAAAGTTAAAATAAAATAAGTTTCTAGTGCAGATGCAAACAAGATAACAATAACTGAAATTACCCATGAACAAATTTACAAATTTCATAACATAATCGAATCCATTTCACGTGTTAAAACACATTTAGAAATGTTCGTACGAAAATAAAAGCAAGTAAGTTAGAAATTTAAAATGATGCTAGGGCACTATTTTTATTTCAACTAATTTTTTCGTAAGCACCGGTGTAATATTCAACAGATTCAAGCATGCACTAATTTCCAATTAAAACGTTTCCACATTAATAATTAGAATAAAAAGAGAATTCTCTAATTTCTGGTGCGTCATATTTATATTATGATCATATTTATATTATGATTTTAATTGAAAATACACAAATAAAAATATACGTCGAAGGTTCACGATGATTGAAATTAAAATTTTACTCCGATTTCATGAATACAATATTTTTACTCACTTGTTTTGCAACAGCTCATTGTCGTGCTGTAGTTGCTGAATATCACTTTTGGCTTGACGCTCTGAGCTCATCAATGAGTTGATTTGACATTTAAGATCCTGTTCTATCGATCGATTCGCTTGTACGTCTGACTTGAGACGTTTGACTTCAGCTTCGAGTTTACGATTAGCAGTTATCCTGTTAAACAATCGATTATTATGATCAATGAATTGAATTCAAAAAAGGAAAAAGTGGGCGTAAAAATGTATGTCTTAAAAGTTACCTTTGACAATATTCATCTTGCAATTTTTGCTGTTCATTGTTCGTTTCAGGCGCTAATTTTGCTTGCCGTCCCTTCTTTTCTCGAACGTTCGAAGAATTCGACGTATCTTTGTTATCTTTTGCACTCCATTTACCATTGGATGTGACATTAGAAACTGTTTTGACAGAATTATGTCCTGAACCCTTAACTGTTTTGTCTTTATCTACTTCCGAGTCAAAGTCGTTCACAGGACTGCAAAAAGTAAAGATAAAAATTAGTACTTTTGGTAGGAAAAAAAAATCGAGCAATTTTTACAAAGTAAAATTCATTCACCTAATCTTTTCTATGTACTGCAAGTCATTGGAAGAAACAGAAGAACCATTATTTGAATACTTTTTGTCATTCTTTTCTGTTTGTGACAATTTTTCTGTATTATGCTTATTGTGTTGGTCCTCCTGTTTTTCTACCTTGTCTACAGACTTTCTTTGATTGGTTTTATTTGAATTCTGTATGTGTGACGTTATCTGTATATTGTTATGAGCACCATTTTGAAGATTTGTTTCCACATTGTTGAGTACTCCTGTTGAAAAAATTAGTGATTAGATTCATGTTTGATGCCAATTGTTGATTGCACATTGAAGTAAATACAAGCTACCTCTGCCTTTTTCTGGACTTGGATTATACTGTACACTTTGCCTCTGAGGCTGTGATTTTGAATTTTGTTCTACTACTGTAGTAGACACTTGTGTTTGTATCTGAACATGCGACGGCGGTATCTGTGGTGGCAGATTTGCCGGTTGCTGCTCAACAGGTAATGCTTGTTGAAGCAGTTGTAAATAAAATTCATTTTCTTTAGCTACATCTCTTTGTTTTCTCTGGAAAAGAAGATCATTTAAGTGACGAAAAATATTGATATTTTTGATTTAAAAATAATTCTTTGAACAAACCTGTCTCATTCTGTAACCAACATAACTTTTAAATCCAAATCCTAAAGTGACTACAGGATAACCAATGCTAAACAGAAGTAAAATGAAATTTTGTTAATGATTAAATTCATGTATTATTTGGAATGAAAGAGAATTCATGTTTACCAATGAGCAGCAAAAGGTCTACAGAGGTCTAAATGAAATGGCATAAGACGTAAATCTTTTAGTCTTATCGCAACTTCCACATACAGAAACATCAGCCACAAAATCACAGTTGGTACGCACACTCCTTTATCTAAAAGAGAAAAATTTTCTTCAATGCGTATCAAAATGAAATCAACCCAAGACAGTATTATAATTTGTATCAAACCTGTGTGCCAAACATATTGCACCCAAACATATGTACTGGCAGCGAAAAACAACCAGTTTACTGGGATGAAAAAATAACAAATCATGTCTGATGTCAGTGCAATACAAATAAAAAATACAGAAAAGGCCTGAAACAAAAAATTAATAGATTAAAAATCGTTCTTGGATCATTGTTTAAAAACATGAATTTAATTTTATTTACCAAGCCTTGATATTTAAAAGAATCGTAAACGCTTCGAATCAGAAGCCAAAATGGCCACAAGAATTCAAATCTGAATTCCAAGAGAAAGTCTGCTGCAAGTACCATGGCCCATAGCACAAGAAACCTCAAGTACAGAATGGAACTGCAAAGAAACGTATGCATGAATAAATGTGAAAAATCAAATTCAATAAGTTATAAATAAAATATTTTTAACATCATATTTCGTGTCGCATTTGACGTATTAACAAGCCGAAACAAGGGGTCAAAAAATCAATAGATAGCCCGCGCTAGTGCGGGTGTTAGATAACTAATGTAGTGGTAATTCGAGCATGGAACTAATTTCTGGTGAATTATATGCTCATGAAATCCCCTATAGCTGTGATATTGTCGATCATATCGTCTCGATGACTTTCGAAATACGAGCATAGTCATGGTAATCTCGGGCGTCTCGCTCAAAAGGCTATTAGGTCGAAAGTTTTGACGCTCAGCTGAGCCCCGTGCTGGCTGCGGCTGGCTATATGTATACAAAGAAACGTCAAAACTAGATACACACATAAAGGTTATAAGACGCGAGCGCGCGCGGCCGAGAGAGCGAGAGAAATATAGCGTGGGACTCGCGCTCCGATGAAAATACATGCTATTTTGTTTGGACGAATATTAGTCCGTCGCTGGCTGATTCGCGACGTCAGAGAGCCACAGAGCCGTATCGTCGCGGCATGAGGCGCCCATAATCGTATTCCGCGGTTTTATTTTCATCGACTCGAGCAAAATGAGAGAGAGAGAGAGAGAGAAAAAAAAAGGAAAAGTATAGCAGTTGCAGCAGCAACAGCAGGCTGCTGGCTATATATACAACGCAGGTGCAGATGATATCGCACAGTGGGTAGTCGGTTAGAATAAAATAAAAAAAATCGTCGACTGACGGCTGTGTGGTTTCTGTCCTTGCTCGTTTCATAAACACGACGATCATATATACCTATATGCATTAATACGAGTGCTCTCGCACCATATAGGTGCCTACGTACGTATGCATGCATGTGTATAGGTATGTGCCATGCACCAACACAACGTTGCTGCATGGAGTCTCTCTCTCTCGATATCGCGCGCGCGAACGAGAGAGCCATAGGAAGAGGTAGAGATAGAGAAAGAGACAGACAGAGAGTGAATTTGCCAGCGGCCATTGTGCACGAGAGAGATGGAGTGAGAGAGAGAGAGAGAAGCGACCGACGACGAGCGCTCCGTTATCATTGTTCTTCGACGTCCGAGTCATTTAGCACAGATGAGACCGAGAGAGAGAGAGAGAGAGAAAGAGAGAGATGAGACTAGTGCACGTTGCGTGCACGGCGTAACATCATCGTATGTTTTGATATGTCGAGATGTATGTGTATACGAGGCTTACACACCACCAGAGCACTCGCGAGGCATGCATAATATGTTTCGGTTTCCGATTAAAAACGAGAGAGAGAGAGAGAGCGAGCAAGAGAAGTAACGCCGCGGCGAGACGCGCGAGGCATAATAAAGGAAAAGCGCGAGATACAGATGTACAGGATCGGCGGCGGCACGAACTTTATGATAATCACGCTGCAGACTCTTCTTACCTTCCGTAAATGCCGTCGGTGATCTTGTTGCGCTTTGGGGGCCTCCGGAGCTTGCCGCACTCGGCGGCTCTTCTCTTCATATTCCTCGCTCACTTGCTGCTGCCAGCTTAAAAGCTGTCGACTTAGCCGAGGGGCTGCCCGTCTCGTCGTTGTTGTTGTTGTCGATCGTCGTCGTCTTAGTCGTCTCCGGGACGCTGCTCTACTGCTGAGCCTCTCTCACTGCGGCGGCGGCGTTTGGTCGTTGACGATGACGACGAGAGGAGCGCTTGCGAGTGAGTGTGTGTGTATGCCTGTGTCGCTTGGTTGGTTGGTATACGTGCACAAAAAGGGCTATATAATGCAGACCGAGCTGTCTCTCTCACTCTCGTTGTATATATTATGCTGCTGCTGCTGCCGCTGTTGACGTTGACGTTCGGCGCGAGAGAGCTTCGCGTGATAAGACAGAGAGGAGACGCGCGCGCGCGCGTTGATCCAAAGCTGCTGCTGCTGCCTAATTGCCAATTGCACCTGTTCAGCTGCCTCGCGCACAGAGAGAGAGCCCTTCCTCCTCTTCTTTCCTCACTTCGTTGATATCGATGATGCGTGGAGTGTATACACACGCTCACGCACACACACGGGGGGCTGCTGCTGCTTCTGCAACACACGTTTTCAGCGATGATAATACACGGTGCATATAGAGACGTGCGCGTTAAATGGTAACAAAGCTTTTCCGCGCGCGCACACCAGAAGTGGTGCGCTTATACACACATACACACATGCATATGCGCGGATTTGTGTATGCAGTGCGCGCGTTTTCGTGCGATGCACCTTTGCTGTACGGATGTGTGTGTATGAGCGCACCACCAACACCACCACCAACACCAACAAAAACAACGCCAGCTGCACTCGTATAGAGCCCGGAGCCAGCAGTAGCAGCAGCGGTAACACCACCACTTCCTTGGCTTTTTAAGAACACACAAACACGTTAAGGCTACAGACGCAGACGGACAAAAAACAATAATAACTGTAACAATAACAACAATAACAACACAATGGAGAGGAGCACTTATTTCTTTCAACACATTTGTCCCTTTTGGCTTTTGGCTTGATATTATTACTACAGGCACGTTACGGGGCTATACAACTATATATCTATATATAAAATGAAAAATAAACGCGAGAAAGTCAAGGAGGAGGAGGAGTACGCGTTATAATATTATAATATTGTGGGAAGCGAGAGAGAGAACCTCTCGCGCGAGGAGGAAGCTGCAGTGAAGCATGAGGCACACGCAGCGTGGACGAGCGAAATAAAAAAAAACACGCACTGTATACATGTAGCAGCAGAGACTTATGCGTTATTACGATACATGCATATAAATACATAAAGCGTGCATGTATACAGAAACTGATGCTGCTGCTGCTGCTGCTGCTGCAAAACAGCACAACTGAAACTGAGAGACGCACACACACATTTGCACACTCTCGTGTATGCGTATTCTCGGATTCGCGCAACGTTCAGCGAGATTATATATGTGAGCACACGAGAGAGAGAGAGAGAGAGAGAACACGCGAGAAAGGGGCTCCGTCTGTCGTCTCGGTTCGTCTGTACGCCGTCTCTCTCTTTTTTTCCTGTATATAATAATATAAGTAGTACCATACACGACGATATTATGTATCATCGGTGGGTCGTCGAGCACTTGTTGTGACTTGCTCTTGCGTGCTCGTGCACTGTATGTATACCGTGTTTAGGTAGTACGTCCGCGATAACGTTAAGTGTATTATGCAGGGGGTTGTTGGCGCTGCTGCACTGCTTCCCCGGAGAAGCCGCGGAGAGAGAGAGCGCGCAGATGATGCGAGAGAGAGAGAGAGAGGAGGAGTTACAGCCGTTACAAAAGCGAGGTCAATCAAAATCCATCGATAATTTCCATGTTTGTGTACACGATTCGCGCTCGAACACGACGTGCATCATCAAATACTATATACAAGCTCGTGCTGCAGCTAGCAGCAGCTGAGTCCAAAGCGAAGCCAAGATAATAACGACAGATGCATGTATGCACCAGCAGCAGCACAGTTGAGCATTCGACGCATTCACGCGCGATGCCCGATACATATATAGCATGCACATGCATAATTCTGCATCGGAAACAGCTTCTTCGAGACGTCGCTCGGGTTTTCTCGCGCGCGCAGAAATTCGCGCACGCACACACGGATATACACGCAGAGACTACGTTACAACAAGCACATACACTGCCGCTCTTTTTCTTGCTTTCTTTCTTTTTTTACCAGCGTCGCTGCCGAATTCGCGCTTGTATACAGCACAGCACGTGCGAGAAAAACACGCACACTCGCACTGACGCGAAACACAAAACAACGAGGATAATATTATCACACTGAGCTACCACAAACTGATATGATGCTGATGCTACTGCTGCTGCTGCTGCTGCTTCAACCGTCCGCAGCACACACGGCTCTAAGCGAGCGGTCGTTGTTGTTGCCGCGGCTATATATATTTATATATGTAACAATTCTCACACTGAGAGAGAGAGACGTATGTAGTACCTTGGCCGTTTTCTTTGTTTTTTTGTACAATGCGTATACCCGGATCGCGAGAGAAGAAGCGAGCTTTTAAAAACTAAAAGACTCGTCCGCGAGTCGTTGCTCGTCGTTTGCTCGATCGTGCCTGTCTGTGCGCTGCTGCTGGTCTCGACGTTTTGCTATACACGCTACACACACATACACACAACACACTGATTATATTGGTTTCGCGCGATATATATACCTTTATACTGCACGCACACAACCACGCTATATAACAGCTCGCACGAGAGTAGCGAGAGAGACGGAACGCGCACCAGTGTGCAAAAACACACGAGAGCTCGTCGAGCCCCTGCACAGCATGCCACACTCTTGCGTTGTGCTCTTACTGCTTTGCCTTATATTATTATTATATATATGTATCGTCAGTGCTGCATCGAGAAAGAAAGAGAGAGAGCGTCGAGTAACTATATTTATATTCGCACACATTAGCGCGTATATGCACACGCATACAAGTATATAATACGCACTGGCGAGAAATGATGTATTCGGCTATCGCACAGTGGCTATATACAGAATCGCAAGCATAATAATCTCGCATACACACAACAAGAGGATGCGCGCGCCCGCACGTCTAATTCGCGAGGCATAAATTCGCAGCTATAGAGAGACTTTAAACGCGCCTGCGCCAAAGCCGATACTGACATTTTACCCACCACAACAACATACAAACTTACAGCAGCAGCAGCAGCAGCCGCGCGTGTTCGGCAAATCGCAATGCGCTCGTGTCATGGCTCTTTCGCAGCCGAGGCCCATGAACGTTCGCAGCAGCTCTCCACGAAGGCGACGAGCCTTTTTCCCGCGCGTATCTTGGAAACAGCACGACGACGACGACGAGGACGAGTACACGTGCACGCGCAAACGAACGAGTTCGCCCGCACTCACTGTGCATTAACTGACACATCGTAATATATGCATTGCGATACACGCGCGAACGGACCATAATATATAGCGTTATTTTATCGGGTGGTTTTATGGGTGAAATTCCGCGATAACGAGACGCTTACTCGTCGTCGTTTAATCTAATCGAGCCCGTTTTTTATTGACTATTTTTAGATGTAAGCGTAAATCGATCGAGCGCGAAATTATATTCGCCGTGCGGGTACGGCAGTTCTCTAGCTTTTTCGCCACCGCGGAGCTCTTCGAGATGATCGAGCCTCGCGAGTGATATCGTGTGACATTTGCAACGGTCGGATTTTCGAGTCGAAAATATTTGAAATTGACCGAATTCTTTTCTCGACTTCGTATTTAAAGTTATATATTTAATTGCAAGTTATTAAATGTTAGTTCTAACATGACAATAAATGCAATAAAAAGTTGCAAAATACTTATTTTTGTAAATTTTACCACCAAAAATACACGACCATGCAAAGGAAATGCACGAGTACTCTATATCGAAGACTATTATTATCACTGCTAGTGACTTTTTCAAATAAAACGAATTTTTGTTGTGCAAATATTCATTCTCCCTATATATTCGCAATGATACATATGTATTTGCTATATTTTGTATAAAGCTTTAAAGAAAAGCGTTAGGTGGTACTTTCTCAGTTCTCACTGATCTTGTTTAAATTGTTTTATTTTATTTATGTTCTGTTCGATACTTTTTTAAGAAATTCAATTTTATAACTTCGAAGAATTTATTTTTGTTAAAAAAAATACCAACAGACGTTGTTATTACCAAACAAATTTATTCACTACTAAATTTTTCCCTTAAAAAAACTGATTTGGTCTATAGAGTAGATAATAATTTTATCCAGACACAATAAATAAGTTTGAAACACTTTATTATTTTTTACAAAATTAAAAGATATTTATGTGAGAAATTGTCTTTAAATTACGTAGCGCAATCGTGTGCGCGAAGGAACCTTCTTGGTTCAAAATGGATTGGGATGAATCTCACGCCCAGAGGGCTTGTTACAAAATATGTACCATCATTGTGTGATTTTTGAGGTCACATTTGTATCCGAATGATTTTCGGCAAATGTCACACTCAAAGGAATTGCTACAATTATGTACATTCATGTGACTACTCAGATTACGCTTATAAATGAATGATTTGTGACAAATGTCGCACTCAAAGTGTCCGCTACGACAATGAACTTCATTAATATGAGATTTGAGATGTTGTTTTAGTCCATATGATCTGTGACAAATGTTACATTCGAAGGGTTTATTAGAAATGTGTTCTTTCATCACGTGCTTTTTGAGTAGATGCTGGTATCCATACGATTTGTGACAAATATCACACTCGAAGGGCTCGGTACGGTTATGTGCTACATTTATGTGACCTTTTAAAATATCCTTGCTACCATATGATTTTTGACATAACGCACATTTGAAGGATTTGCTACGATTGTGTACCGTCTTTATGTGAATTTTGATGTAACTTTTTTGTCCAAACGATTTATGACAAATATCGCACTCGAAGAGTTTGCTACAATTATGAACTGCATCGATGTGTTTATTAAGGTCACTCTTGTATCCAAATGATTTGTGACAAATCTCACATTCAAAGGATTTGCTACGATTATGTAATGCATTTATGTGTCTGTAGAGTACATTCTTATATCTAAATGATTCATGACAAATCTCACATTCAAAGGGTTTGCTCCGAGTATGTACTCCATTTATGTGACGTTTGAGAGTACTGTTGTATCCAAATGATCTGTGACAAATGTCACATTCGAAGGGTTTGCTCCGACTATGTACTCCATTTATGTGACGTTTGAGGGTACTGTTGTATCCAAATGATCTGTGACAAATGTCACATTCGAAGGGTTTGCTCCGATAATGTACTGAACTGATGTGTTTATTGAGATCACTTTTTTGTTCAAATGATTTACGACAAAACTCACATTTGAAAGGTTTTTTAGGACTATGCACTCCATTAATGTGACGTTTGAGAGTAATGTTTTGTCCAAATGATCTGTGACAAATGTCACATTCGAAGGGTTTGATCTGATCATGAACAGCACTTGTATGTTTATTGAGATCACTTTTTTGTCCAAATGATTTGCGACAAATATCACATTCGAAGCGTTTGCTCCGATCATGTACAGCTGCGTTCACATTATTTTTGAGATGGCAATTTTGTCGAAATGATTTTGTACATTCGTATGGTCTAGTTATCTTATTTTCCGATTTCAGATGTGTTCTAAAACTTCGTTTTACTTTACAAGTATTTTGTCTCATTTCGTAAGATAGTTTGGATCGAGTTGTTTTTCTTGCTATTTTTAAAGTTTCATATTCACCAAACTTTGATCGGAAATTCACTTGAAATTGACGATTTTTATCGTAATCGAATTCTTTTTTTATCAAAATTATCAGTTCCTTACGATTCTTGTAATTGCTCTGATTTTCGTTTTCTATTTTCATTACACGAGGATTACTTTCGTACTCATTTTTGCAGATGGTTTTCGATACGGACTTATGTTCAATTTTAACATCTTTGCACTCGAAATCAACGAATATTTTTTCGTTCGACTTTTTTTGTAATCCCATGACCTCATTCGTGGGGTTTGCCTATAATTAATATTGTGTAATAGTTTTTGATAGCAGTAAGTTATAAACATGACTCAAACAATTTAACTCACTGATGATTTATAAAACGGAAATGTTTCAAAAGTTTCGGCCGTGCAAGAATCCAGAGACTCAAAAATATTATCGTAGCCTGCATCTGGCCAAGTAACGTTCTGCTCTTCCTTTATCCTGGAGAATATGAAAGTCTGATATGAAGCAATCGCTTTAAACAATGATATGAACCAAACATGTTTAACGTTATTTATACCTAACTGTATCCTTTCTGTTGTCCATCACTCTCTATATTAAAAGTCTCACTATAAACTTTTACACAAAACACCATGAAAGTATTTGAGGTTAAAACATAAAGCAGCCAACACTATAGCGAGACGACACTTCGATTGTGATAGCTCCTCGGCACGATATTTTCGGCCCCCTCTACCGTCAACTGTCTATACGCCGTAATTTACCCCGATACCCATAGGACGTTAACTCTGACTTGTAAAAATGCCATGCGACTATATCTTTGGACCAAGATTGGATAGATCAACGCGGCTATTCGTCGAATTTCTTCGTTTTCTTTCTTCATGCATCGACAGTTATCCGGCCTCATCCAGTAATCGATTCTACCGAATTAAAGTTAACGTTTATACGCCTTTGAAGAGACCAATAATACACTTGATAATAACGTCAACGAAAATGAAGGTGCGCTATCCGTCACGAAAGTCAAAGGTCTTGTCAAGTTCCTTGAAACTTATGAACTTGTGATACGCACTAATTATTGATCATCAAACGAATCTCGCGAGCATACGCTCGACTTTCTCACTTTGTGTTTCAGGGAGTTAAATAAGTTGATGCTTGTATAAACTCGTAGGTTTGTCATCAAATGGTTCATTGACACGGAGAAAATCGATTGGTGGCAACGTAACTTTGAAAACTATTAATTTGCTTACGTGGGTATTGACAAATTTAAAAATCTTGTCTATTTCGTGATATGTTACTGTGTAGTTCACTGTTGGCTCATTTTTTAGCTTTCTCGCGTGGATGTAATTGAATTACATCTTGTCAGTTTTTTAATTTGCATAGTTGTAACTTATATTAGTTGAAATAACAGAAAATGTCCGTATTTTTATACTTTGAAATAAAAGGAAAAATGTATTTTATTACTACTTCAAGATTTGAACAATGAGCTTGAAAAACTCTTTGATCGCGTTTTCCAGTATAATTTACCTTTTTCGAATACCTAGCCAACATTTGCGGTGACTTCATTCACGATTCTGAAATTTCATCGCTTTAATTATTACGGAGTTTTCTTTCTGTAACTATATCAGCGTTCATGGAAAATGTACTGTCTTAAAATGTCATATTCTTTCCGCAAGAACGGATATTTTAAAATGTCACTGTCCACAAAACAGAATATTGAACTAATTCCATTTCCAAAGTATAAAATTTAAACTATATAAATTATCTTTTATAATACTTTAAAATATGAAATATTAATACAAATATGATAATTTATAGTTTTGTACAAAAGTAATTGTATCCAATTGCGTCTGCATACAAAGGGCACGTGTTCCATAAAAACATGCAACGGCAGATGCTAATGTCTCACGGACCTGACGCTCATCGAACGTAAACAAACAAAAATTCACCTCGGCACAAGTGTTTTAGGTATTGGTATAGTCTGTTTATTTACCATCCACCGCTGGATCCTTAGAATCCGCACGCAGCCGACGTCGAGTATCGAGGCTAGAGTATCGAGTACCTACTCTCGCTCATTTGTGTCGCAGACAGCCGCGAGTGTAGTTACGAACTACTTCGTAATAAAGTTCTCCGTTCGTTCGACGATCAATCGTCAAAATGGGTAAGATGCTCAACTGCGTTTATCGATACTTTTTGTCCACGCTTCATCTGGAAAAGTATAATATTCTCCCACGAATTACAATTGTTGTTTTAGATAAATCCGAACAAAAGAAAATATTGAAGCGTGATTACACGCGCAACAAAAGGGAAATACTTGCTGAAAAACGCGCAAAGAGTCTGGCGAGATTGGAAAAGATGAACATTGAAAAACGACAGGAACTTGCCATCAAACGAAATAACGCAGGGAGTGCAAGGTAAGCTTTTACAAGCATCATACATTTTCACAACTTAAAATGCAAATAAGTCATTTTTTTTTAAATTCAAGTCTTTCTCAAGTAATCGTTTACACGATTCGAAATTCGATTGGCATTGTTCTGTAACTTATATTTTGATGAAAAAATATTTATTGCTACTAAAATTATGTCATTCCTGAGTTGTTATTCCGAAAATAATTTAGTATATTTCGTTTATTATTCAGAACACGGGAAATGCGTAGCAACGGTCCCAAAAAGAAGCCCGTTCAGTCATCGCCATACTTTTTACGTCAACGCAAGCAGAATTCAGCAGTAGTGCCCAGCCCAAAAAATTTATTGCTGGAACAAAACTCCAAGGAAGAAACACCCGAAGTCGATCAAAGAAACGTAGGTCCTGAAAATTCTGAAACAGATACTTGTGACGATTCTATGGATATTGAAAATGATCCTTCTTTCGCGAACGGCTGTGAAATTGTTGCTTCCAAAAATGATAAGAGCATTGAAAACTATACGTGCTCTGAAAACGATAATAAGTTGATTATTAATTTGAATGAAAAAATTGCAACTACTCGTTTTCGCGAACAAAAATTGCGCCGAATCGTTGGAAGATTAGAAAAAGTAATAAAACGAAAAGATTTACTCATATCCCAATGGAGAAATAAGTGTAGCAAATTAAGAAAGGGATTTGCGATGATAAGGGAAGAAGAGATTACGATAAAAATGTCAAAGATGTGCATGATGTTTTGAATTGCGCATCGACGAAACCAATAAATACGCGCCTTTGTTCCCGGTTAAGAAAGAAAAATAATAAGCCAACGCAAAGAGCCAAGAATAAATTATCGCGCGAGTACATTGAAATAATTTTGAAAAACGAAAGAGTTTCAGGAGTTGGCTTGACAATCGTATATAGCAGCAACAAAAATTTATTTCCAACGACACACTTCAAATTTCATACGACCTGTCGCGCGTGAATTTATATACCAAGTTTTCGACGTCGCTTTGCATTTGTCATTTGCGGTGATACCTGACATCTTTACTCGCCAGCTTATCGCGTTTTTTTTGTCAGTAAATTTATTTCAAGTACATAGAAAGAAAAACTCTCAACTTCCAAGTTAGAAGTTACGAACATTTTTCCAAATTTATAATTCATGTTAAGTTTTCAACGCCCGCTGCAAATAACGACGAAAGTTTGGAATGTTGATATATTTCAGATCGTAATTACTCTTTCGACCGCGAGAAATTGTAAATTTTTTTATGAATTTTTTTTAATGAAATTAAGCGCTGCGAATTAACAAATTTTCGTGAGTTACAAATTTATATGTAAGGTCGCCGACCTAAGACTGGCATTTAAGTACATTAGCAAAAATTTTTTCTAATTTTTTTTTCTTTATATTTAATAAAGTAGACATGTGAAATGAAAAATCAATGCGAGTATCATTAGTTTATCTAAAAAATTTAAATTGTATACCTTTAAATTATTGATTGTCCTACAGTTATTTTCACAATTATCATTGATGTATTAAAATTACTCTTTATGATGATTTCGGTTAAAGAACAATGTTTATGTTATTATAAAAACTGATGAGTAATAAATGTTCAATTAAATAAAAACTTCTTTGTCCAATATAATTTTCATTCTGATTCCATTTCAAAGTATTGCTATTATCCAAAACGTATTTTTAACACGAATTTTTATGATGAAAATACCGAAGGTTTGCTTAAACTGATTGTTATAGAAATCACAACTCCAAGAGAGAATACAGAATTCTAATGTAGGTCTGCATTCGATATCAAATTAGAACAATGAAGTGAACATTTCTATGAAATAAAAAAATACATATTTTACGAAAGTCGGTTATTACCAATAGGCCATAGGATGTAACAATTAACAATACCGAAGTTATAAAAAAACAAATTTATTGATGTTCTAAAATTAAGAGTTTTGAGTTGTTTACAACAAGATAATATGCAGATTTGGTTTTGTTAACTAGACAACTCCTCGAAAACCAAAACAGATAAAATCACCAGACGGATTCACTCTACACATACATTTTTATCAATATTAATTTATACAAGGTAAAACGACGCGCTATAAGGATTTATTACTTAAAAAATACGAGTCACTAGTCTTTTTTTATGGCGCTCGAATCAACTATGTAAAAAAAAAACACACAACATATTGTCGCAAAAGAACTGCAGAGATAACTAATCTCTTGGCAAATACTCTTTATACTTTAGGGATGACACTTCGTGTTATTTAGCTCTTTTTATTCATGACGACTTTGTCAAGCTACTTTAATGGCCACGAAGTTTACACGCATATTTACAATCGAAATATTATTGCTTCCGAAATTATACGATCATATTGCAGACGCATTCGATGCGCAACTGCATCACAGAGAATAATTAAACGGCATGAATCATATCGTTCGAGATCACAAATCAACAACTTTGGGAAGCATAATGGTAATAATAATTCTAATAATACGTGTTTGCGCATATAAGTCGAACAACAACTGTTTATAATCGTTTATAATTTTAAATCAATTGCTCCCCGCAACATAGAGCAGTATATTAATGAACGACAGCTAATGTAGCGGCGTTTCGGATATGTGTGTAGAATCGAGATCGCAGTTTTTTTTCTTCATTTTCTTGCTTAAATGACTGAAAAGGATGTAGACGCTGTTTTGTATCTCAGTCATAGTTTTTGACTCGCGTTGAGAAATGACTCGCACCGCTCACAGATCCATTTCGAATTGTTCCGAAGTCTCCTCGATCAGTACTGTATCTGAAAATTAAAAAAAGAATGTGTTATGCAACGTACAATTTCTTTAAAAAAATCTAATTGATTTTATAAAGTTTCCGTGGCTCGAGACAAACACACTTTTTCACTGTTCAAATAACAGTAAAATTTGCTCATTCTCTCAAGCAGAAAACTGTTAATAAATTAAGGCTACCGTCGCGTCACGTTTCGAATAATTTCTATATAAATAAATGATTCAAATTAAATATTTGATAAAAAAAGCATGAACAGACATTGCACTTCTTTTAATGCAGAGTATGAGCTCCAAAAAGGCGAATGTTTGTTTTTCAGAACCACGGAAATTTTATATTTGAAACATAAAGAATAAATTTGCAGATCGAGTGTGTTATCTTAATTAAAATTATAATCTCTCTCTACGTCGTCGTAACGACGAGTCCGCGTTACAAAAACATTACACAAAAGCTGCAGCGCATAGTTGTCTATACCTTTAGTCGGTGGACTCGGTGTTTTGCCAGGCGACAAGATTCCATCCCTCAGCATGCTGGCCGGTATGGATGGTAAATTTTTTGGCGGGGTCTGCGATATCGGCGAATTTTTCAAATTCATCAGGAATGCTCGCTCGTAAACTATTCGAGTACCTGCAATTAAAAAAAAAAGAAAATTAAAAAATGTCTCGGACGTTAGTAATGTTTTGAAAGCGCAGTTTTAATTTTCAAATCGGATTCGCGATATGAAAGTTGATTTTTAAAAGGCCGCGCGCGTCGAGATTGCACGAGTTGGCTGATAAGAACAAAATCAGCGATATTGACTTAATAATCGTTAAATCCACTTTGAATTCTAATGCCGCGCCGATTAATACACAGTTGAATAATTACAAATTGATAAATTAACACCCATACATCGATAAGTAAAGCTAGTTCAGATACGAACAAAAAGATGCAAATGGTTAAAATACACGAGAAATCGACCGTGAAACGTTTCGATCGGATTTTACGATGCGACGACGACGAAGCTGGCTTCGACTTTCAGCATCGAGATTCATCATCGATCTGCGTCAATGTGTTATTCGATAAATGGAAGTTTATTTTTATGCATCGAAAGTCAGATTGAAAAGTCGAGATGTTACAATATTATCGATTCGCGCCGCGGAATTACGAAATACATTTCATTTATGTAATTCCGACAATGCGCGGATGATACTGATTTTGAATTTTAATCATTTTCATCCTCTCGAAAATTTCCATTAAAAATAAAAATCAACGCATCAGAATTGAAGTTTTGCAGCAAAAAAAAGTACATAAGCGGGGAGTGATTTTTTTTCCGCTGGTACTAGCAGCAGCAGCAGCAACACGTAGTAGTAATTCGTACATATAGGAGAGATTAAAAAACATCGTATTGTTTTTGTTAAAACACAGCTCTGAATTAATCTGTTTACTCGTAGCTCTAGCACGTAATTAGAAAATTAAAATATTCCAGCGCTGCTGCTCGCCTCGGCTCGACCCGGATAGAAAAGCTCGAGCGAGTTGTGTGTGTGTGTGCAGAGTAGCGCAGTGGCAGCAAAAGCAGCAAAACATTCGCGGTGTGTGTTATATCATAATACATAAATAATGAACTCTCGGTAGTGGCGTTCGGCGATCGGTGCATGATTTCAATTCGATGTTTGCCCCGCGTATTTGAATTAAACGAACTCGCGTGACGACGATGTTTTCCGCACGTGCGACATCGTCCGGATATGGGATATGCGGCTCGAAGTGGAGCATCGGGCGTTAAAATCGACCATTTCTCTCTGGCATTATGCATAATAAAATAGCTCTCGAAGTAGCCGCGTGTATACATTTAAGCCCGTGCTTGCACATTAATGAGATAAGGCTATATCGTATAACAACTCGAATGCGCGCGTTGTATTATATCTCTTCACGGCAGCAGCTACTTTTTACGTACCATCTCTACACCGAAGAACGAATTGGTATCTCTCTCTGTCTCTCGGTGCTTATCAAGACGAAAATCCAATATCCAATATGCAATTATGCGGAGAGCGACCGGTCGTTTCGCGACTAGGTATACACGTGTTTCGGAGCTTTTCTACGCGCCGAATTCCCCGGATAGTGTCGCTCAAGGTATATCTACGCGGACTCGAATCATACGTATATGTAATACAGCAGCACACCCCGAAGCTATAATATGCTTTCGGCCGAGTGTCGCATATAAGCCGCGTTATAGCTCTAATATTATACCTTATGTGCTATGACCGGTTACCCGATGTCGCACGACGACGCAGTTACTATACTATACCGCCACGCTTGTTTACTACTTAGTCTCATTTTCATTATTACGTGATGTTTACACAGTCACCGGAGCACCGCGTCGTTGAGACGCTATACCAGCGCACCTCCTCCTCGTGTTTTATCGGCAGAGAGCTATTATGTGCCAATATAACGAGAAGATATCTTTATACATATATCGGGCATATACTAGGAAACATCTTCCGTCTGTGCCGGTGTTTATTGCCGCGCGCATAATGTTTCCGGAATGGATATTATTCCATCTCTCTCTCTCTCTAGCGCGGCTTTTTGTATTTTTTCCTTACCTCACTTTAGGCGGAAAAAAAACGTCAACAACGAGCGCGCTCGATCGATTATTATGCGAGCTCGTTTCCAATTATACGTTCAAAAATAGCCCACACTAGCCCGTGTGTGTGTGTGTGTGTGTTACAATGCAGTCATCGAGAGTGAGACGTTGACTTCAAGAATCGATTTCTGCGCTGTAAACAGGCTTCGGTAGGTATACACACACGAGATGAGTAATAGAGTGACACCGATAACTTGGCAAGTTTGCACACGGTCACTTTGCATTTTTTTTTGTTTTTTTTTTTTTACCTCTCGCTCGTATATTTTTCGAAATTTCATACTTGTCAACCTTACGGTCGAAATTGCGCCGTGAGTGGAAAAACACGAAGCGACACTCCTCCAAGAGAGTTAAAAAATAAAGTAAAAATCTCGTGCAACGAACTCACCGCTGCCTCGTTTGACCGCTCGAATCCATAACGTACATCAACATTTATCAATAACAATTGATTTACGGCGTCGCCGCTTTGAACGAACCGAAAGAGCAGAAAAAAAAACTTCTCGAATAAAAGAACCGAGCCTCCGGTCGTTTCCAGTTTTTTTCGGCTTGTTTACGGCGCAGTTCGAGTTCGCGCGAAAATTCAAGATTGCGCGCGCGTTTTTCCAAGGCCCCCGGGCGCGGACGGCGTAAATTTAAAACCGACGTGCCACCGGCCCCCGTTTACGTCGTCGTGATTCAATGTAATCAATTAGCAAGACGTATATATTATTCGGCAAGACTTGGTGACATATGCGAGTAATACACATATATTTCTAAATATAGCCACGCGCGTCTGTCGCATTTGAATCAACTTGCACTTATTATTACAATATGCCGCGTCGTCGTCGTCTACACAGTCAACCGGCACAATTTGCGCGTGCACGAATTATACATACGTCACAATAAACTTTTGTATTCTATATATATACGAGCGCGCATGCGGGATCTTATTTATTATTAAAGCGTGTGTGCATAAATTTAGCGCTCGCACACACGTACACACATACGTATATATTCTCTTTTGTCGAAACGTAGCGGAAAATTGCGAGCGCCAACGCGACAAAACAAAGTATCGTATGTGCTTCGTGCGCACATGCGTACGCGAAAAGTATAAAAAGCGATAAGGAAGGAGTCTAGATATATACAAGTATATATAAGATATGCAGCATAACACCGCTGCACTTAGCATAATCACGCGTTTTACTTATATGCGCCGTACATTATTCCGGGGCGAACTGGCGGCGGGCGCTAGGGGGTGCATTAAATATGAAAACGCGACAGCTTTGTTGCACTAATTCGGAAACTTCAAGCAGCTGCACGACGATGCGCCCTCGTTATAATGTACGCGTAGGTAGGTTTAGGTAAAAGCGAAGTGAATAGATGTGTGTCGCGTGATGCACACGCGATGCACCGTGTATGTAGGTATGTGCCAAAGAGCAGAAAAGCAGCGACAAAGAGTATAAATAACGACGACACACGAGCGCCGAGAGAATTTCCAAACGATTCCGGGTGAATTTTTACGATACATATAACTAGATATCGAAGCCCGTGCGGCATAGAGAACGTTTGAAAACTTCATTGTTGCAGCGGAGAGCACAGAGCAGTGTCGTGTGTATGACGCGACTATATAGGAGTATCCTTCTCCTATATACACGGATGTGAATGCAGAAAAGCATCAGCGGCAGCAGCAACAGTAGTAGCTAGCTGCGTACATGTAAGCGTCGAGAAAAAAGTCGGAGCACGTCGTGCTATATGGCATCGTACTACCTATATATTGCTGCTGCCGGGCAGCACACGCTATATAACAATGCATTGCCGTTGTAGCAGCCGTGATGCGCGCAGTTGCGGCGCAGGCATGACTACTGCTACGAGCGTTATGGGAATTGCGCAGCAGAACTCGGAACAAAGATGAAATTCGAGGTTTTCATACTTCTCTCTTCTGCGTCGCTTTTTTTTTATTTCGTTTCGAGGACGAGTTATATACGGCGCAGTGGATACGAGTATTATTACTCGCTCACTCATACGAAGCACAGCGAGAGAGATGGGAATAGAGTGCGAAGTTGTTTCTTGGACAAAAACCGATCGACGGCGAGGCTTTTCGGGTGCTTATCACGCGATTATAATATCTATAATATACGAAGGTGTACTTGCGAAGCGTGTGCATGTTAATATTTTATTGGCTCTCGGCGACTCGTGACGCAGCATCCGAATTAATCAATGGCACTGACCGCGTTTTCGACTGTTTACGTTCGACAAATATAAGCCGACCCGATCGGTCCGCACGCGTTTCAAATTAAAAAAAGAACGTAATTCCAGGGCTTTCGAGTTATCATATAATATTATATAAGTATGCACGGGTATAAATAGAGCAATGAAGTGCATGTCAACGAATGCATCGACTGATTAATGAAACAAGCGTAATTATAAACATCGGCGGCCGCTATTTGAACAACAACATTGCGCGAGCATGTGTCGGTTTCTGCTCCGCACCGTGCACGTACTAATACATCGATTGTGTACGTGTTTACGTGCGATCTATATAGCTCAACTCGTGTGTCCCCCGTGGGCAATATTGGCGACGATTGCTCCGTTTAAGCGTGTGTACAAGTGTGCGCGTATGTACATGTGCGAGTATTTAATAGATGTGTATTGCGAATATATAGACGCGCACCCGAACGACACGTATACCTATGATACAGAGAGTACAAAAACATCGGGCTCTATATCGCGAGATTCTATATCTATAGATATATGTAACAGCAGAGGCAGGTATTATTATGTACATACGGCGCGAGGTCGCAATTCCGTCGCGTGACGAAATTTGAAAAACATTGCCGAATGCCGGACGCCGTACTACTACTAGTACTATTACTACGCTACGTAGACGAAAAAGCACGAAAGATGCAACGATGCACCAAAAGGGATGGCACGGGCAAAGGTTTTTCGACGAAAATAGCGAAACGAAAGCAAAGAGAGAAAAAGAGAGACAAAAACTAACCTCCCGGTGTGGTGGAGTAGAGAGTGCCCCCGGGCGTGGACGAGTAATCGGCTGGCATCTGATTGGCGTCGTGGATGACGACGCTCTTCGAGGGGATGCCTTGGGCTTGGGTGGCTGCTCTCGCGATTGGTGACGCCGACATGATGTGATGTGTGTTTGGTAAATGTCACTTTTTTCTCGAAAAAAAAAACAACAAATAGCAGCGTGAAACGTAGGTACTATGTAAGCTCGAGCACGACAAAGAGTGTCAGCACTACGACGACGACTGCAGAAAATGCCAAGACGAAATTGAACTGCGACCTCTGCTGCGCGACGTTGGCTCTGATGTGCGGTGTGTAGTACGTGAGCGAGTGTTCTTCTTCTTCGTTGTCGTCTTCTTCTTTACACACAACGATCGGCGGCTACTACTTGTATATGATTTACTTATAGAAGACGAGTGCACACAAGCGACTTTATATGGATGATGCAGCGACGACAATGGTTGCGGAGATTCACTTGTATTATATTAATATTATCCGGCTGTTACAGAGTTAAAAGTTGTTCAAGTCGAGAAGATTCGCACGCGTGAATTGATGTATATTTACTACTATATCTGCCGTGTATGTGTTCGCTTGTGCGCCGCGCTTTGCCGAATGTTGTGGCTCTGCGGATCTCGCCAGCCTATAAGCGGAGCACGGAGACTATTATATACACACGGATACACACACACGCACACAAAGACTCGCGACTTGGAGCGAGTGGGACAGCAGAGAGAAAGAGAGAAAGAAATAATACGAGAGATTCTCGCGCGTATGTGTGTGCGAACGTGGGCTCGACACCAGAAGCAGCGGTAAACACACGCGTGTGTGTCAATGCGTTGACTGTATTAAACACAAGCGTTGGACTGATCTCCCCCGCTCTTCTCTCGTATATATTTGAATATATTTATGAATAGATATATAGATATAGATGTATGTTACGAGCGCGAGCGTTTAGCCGAGTGTCGACTGGCTCGAGCACGTTTTACGCGTAGTTTTTATAAGTAAAGATCTCGCGCAATAACGCCACAGATTCGATGCACACACTCTCAGTATCTCTCTCTCTCTCGCGACTGACTCTGCAGCTATCTCGTTCTCCCCCGCGCACACACACACGTATACGGACGCCGATTTTATACATATAGTTATCGCTGCTCGCGAACCTCGTGCTACTCGTCAGTGTATACAGACAGTACACACACACACACGCGCGTTGGTATATTATTACGTGATACGCGCACGTTCGTACGTGTGTACACGCGAGCACGAGCTGAAATTTGCTGACGAAATACCTCCGATACGCGGCATAATACAGTCGATCAAAACTGCATATAATATCCGATTTAGCGCTGGGGTTAAATTAAATACGACTCCGTTATTATTGTGGGCTCGAATTGCGGCGCATATCTATCTTAACCAGCCAGAGTAAATGGTAGTGTGCGCGTTGTTATTGTTGCGATCCTTGAATTCGCGCAAGCGCGTTTCGCTTGTTGTCGTCTGCTAGCCTGGGTGTACAGCTCGCGCGAGTCGATGTTTTGCACGCCACACACATGCAGAACTGCATTATTACGATAAGCGTTGCGTCGCAGTTCAAATAGCAATTCGTAAATACCTATCGAGTTTTACGAACGTCACGTTTTACCGCGCGTAAAATAATAAGTACTATACGCGGAATTGTTTACCGGTCTAGCACATCGTATTTTTATTGACCATTGACCAATTATTCAATGTTTTTGTAAATCGACCCTAAAAAGCTCTCGTACTTTCATATTCCTCCTGACACACAGAAGCTCGTTTCAAGTGGAATTATTTTTTTTCGTAACTTTACACGCTCGACGCGATGATTATTTCACCTCTCTCGTGACTACGTGACTACGAAGTGGTTTCGCGGAAACGGCCCAAACGCGATCGTCTCCGTGAAATGAAATATATAAAATCGCGCGATACTTCGCATAGTCGAGAGCCAACGAGCCGAGGCACGCCCGCACGCGCGCATGCGGGAAGAAAGAAAGAAAGAGAAAGAAAGGCCAGACGCTCTCGTGCGACCGACTGTGTATACGTGCGGCTGTCCACGCGAGAGTCGCACACTACACGAGGACGGGAGGCAGCTGCCGCTGCGTATCATCATCGTCGTCGTATTATAAGCTTATTTTTTGTATTATGTATATTATCGAGCCCGAACAAAGAGCGACGCTGAAAACGTAAAATAACGCGTAGCTGTGTTTGTATGAGAGTATGAAGATTGGAGAGAGGAGCTTGCAAGCCCTCGTGGCTCACACGTCATAGAGTGCCGGTAAACAGCCCCGCGCGCGAAAGAAAAGCCGATACACGTGCCGCCGCGTGCAAAGTCCGTTGCCGATATTAACTTTGTTACAGGTAACTTCTTATCGATTTTCACGCTGCGCGGGATGCGCTCGTTCGCCGGAGTGACGATATATTTACGCGCACGTGTTTTTGCATTCCAAATGTAAATATTTTTGAGCCCCCCTCGTTTCTCTTTGTTGCATTGTGAGGCGCGACGTGCCGCCTCGCAAAATATCAAAAACGGTCCCGCCAAAGATTTTCCATTCTATGATAATTGAGTTGCATCATCGAGAGAGGAAGGAATTATTGGGTTATTCCATGGCGAATTCGCACACGACGGAGGAGTGAAGGAAAAAAACCCAAAACTCAAATAGAACTCGTGGTATCTCGCCTATGTTACAATATGACCGCAACATCCGAAAAAACAACATCAGATTACGTTTATTTGAAAAATATCTTGCAAGTATCGAAACATCATGGAACACGCGACTATATTTCATGGTCTCTAAAATTCATATTCATTCGAAATTTTTTGATAAAATTTACAGAGACTTTGGTAAAACATTATATTTCTGTATTTCAATAAATATACTAACGTGAAATCCAGTTTCCTTGCTCGTGATTATTATCATTTTTGAGAGGAAAATTTATTAGGATTTTTTATAGAGAAAAGAAATGCCCCATAATAAGTAATTATGATTAGAACATAACAATTGATATCAGATGACAGGATGAAAGAAAAATTGTTACATAGAGAATTATTAAATATTTTGCATAAAACAATGTGTAAAGAGGTGACGACGAGTTTTAAAAAGCTATAAATATAATTTAGAGAAAATGAATATTGAACCTGAGGATTCAATTTTAAAATATGTAATACCTTATTGAATGCAGTTGAAGTTTAGATTAAAGTGAATACGTATAAACTCAATAAAAAAATTATGAATGTTAATGAACTCTTTGTTCGAGTCGATACGAACTACGCCTAAATTCATGTATTTTCAAAGAAAAAGAAAAAAAAAAGGAAAGTCGTAAAAAAACAGAGATCGACATTGATCTTTGTGAACTCGTCTGAGTAAGACGTAATTTTTGATTTCGTTTCGTTATTATTTTTTAATTGTTTAACCTTAAAATTAAATTTTAATACGGAAAAAGTATCTCAAAGAAAAATAATTGTAAAGAATAAAAAAATAATCAAAATACTAATCGATCGGCAGACCCACGATCTGTCCTCGCTTTCATAGCGAGTTGTAGATTCTCTACAAACCGAGAATCTTTGTAAGTATTTTGTTTTTCCACGCGTTTCCTCGTAAATCAAATTCATTTTATTACTCAAATATTATATTACATCAAGGGGACCTCTCTCCTCGAAATTGAAAAAAAATGTTTTTACAACGATTTTTTTTGAATGTAACAAAATGACGAAAACGAAAACTCCTCGAAGATTTCAACGTTAAGCTAGGATTTTAAATTGTTTCAATTACTTTAAGTATAAACAGATAAATCGGTACTTTAATTGTAAACAATTAAATCATAAACGATTTTGACATGCCCTCTTCACCCACTGATCGTGTTTACAGTAATAATTCGCGGGTAGCGAGAAAAGCCGATGCTGTGTATATGAGTATCGTAATTCGTAACGCCGCAGATCTCTCTCTGTCATACTTGCCAGAGGGAGCGCGAGGCGCGCTCATCAATAATAAATTAACTTGAATGTTGTTTTCTCCGATGAAACAGGTAAATACATCAATTTTACTCATCAATTTCCGTGACACCAAATAAAGATCAATCGTTTGATTAAGGTTTCAAAATGGATTATACAAGTGACAAAAAATCCGAGGAAATCGTTTCAAAATATAACGTAAGTGGACACGACATTGTCGTTTCGGACGACAAACAAAACATTGATAATATTTGTCAGGAGGCATTTACACTAGAATCAAGCATGATAACGCAGCAAGACACAGTTCACAAAGAACAGGAAGTTTTTGCGTGCGATAATTGCGAGAAGAAATTTCAGTTCCGAAGTCATTTGAATAGACACCAAATATCAGAACACAAAAGCTGCAACGATTACCCATGCGACAGGTGCGAGAAAAAATTTTCGAAACAAACAAGTTTGTTTGTCCATCAAAAATCGGTCCACGACGATCGCGAAGATTTCACATGCAAAAAGTGTGAGAGGAAATTTGAAAATAAATCAACTTTACTCAAGCACAATAAGATATTCCACGAAGTTTTCAAAGATGTCTTATGTGAAAAGTGCGCGAAAAGATTTGGAAATAAACGTAGTTTGCAATTGCACATAAATAGAGTACACGACGGTCGCAACGACTACGAATGTGACAAGTGCAAAACGAAATTTGGAGAAAAATCGAAATTGAATAGACATCAAAGAATAGTACACGAAGGTCATAAAGATTTCATATGCGACAAGTTCGAAAAGAAATTCGGACAAAAAGTTAATTTGCTTTCTCACCAAAATACAGTCCACGAAGGTCACGAAAATTTCTCATGCGACAAGTGCAAAAAGAAGTTTGAACAAAAATCGAATTTTTTGAAGCATCAAAGGGAAGTACACGGTTACAAAAATTACATATGTAACAATTGCGAGAAAAAATTTGCACTCAAATCGAAATTATTTTTGCACCAAAAAACAGTGCACCAAAATCAAAAAGATTATGCATGTGACAAATGCGAAAAGAAATTTGGGGTTAACAGCAATTTAATAAAACACCTAAAGACAGTCCATGAAAAACGCAAAGATCACGCATGCGACAAGTGCGAAAAGAAATTTGGACATAAACAGACATTACTTTTCCACCAAAAGACGGTCCATGAAAAACGCAAAGATTACCCATGTGACAATTGTAAGCAAAAATTTTCACACAAATCGAGTTTACTTATGCATCAAAAGACAATACACGAAGGTCAAAAAGATTATGAGTGCGACAGATGCGAGAGGAAATTTGCACAAAAAGGGCATTTGCTCTTTCACCAAAAGACAGTCCATGAAGGTCGCAAAGATTACACATGTGATATATGCGAAAAAAAGTTTGGGTACAAACAGTATTTTCTTATCCACCAAAAAGCAGTCCACGAAAGACGTAAAGATTTTGCATGCAACTATTGCGAAAAGAAATTTGGCCTTCAAAATTCTTTGAGTAGACACAAAAAAACAGTCCACGAAGGTCGTATAGATTATGCCTGCAACAAATGTGAGAAAAAATTTGGACAACAATCGAATTTGACCCAACACCAAAAGACAGTCCACGACGGTCGTAAAAATTTCGCACGTGAAAAATGCGAAAAGTAATTTGGAAAAAGTTCGCATTTGTTCGTGCACAAAAAAACAGTCCACAAAAGTCGCAAAGATTTTGCATGCGAAAAATGCGAAAAAAAATTCTGACTGAAATGTGATTTGCTTTTGCACCAAAAGAGAGTTCACGAAGATCGCAAATACTACTCATCCGAAAAATGCGATAAAAAATTTGCACAAAAAGTGCATTTGCTCGGACACCTAAAAAGATTTCATGAAGATGAATTGTAAATAAGTATAAATATTTGTACAAATATGTTTTACTAAAATTTTAATAAAAATTACAGCTTTGTACACTGTTTCGGCGTGTTTCATTTTTGAACCAGATTTCAAGTACCATTAATTACTACTGTTCGTTCAGTTTTAGGATAATTGCTTTCTTTCTTTTCATGCAACGATCAACTGAGTTTTTTTTCACTTCTTGTTCGAAACTATGATTGGGGTGATAATTTGGTTGGCTACCGGATTTTTGATAAATAATATCCTGATCCTGATTTGATCAAACATGCGTTAGTGATAAATATTCTGATAGACATTGATTATTTCTCCTACGAGAGACGTGATGATAAGTGAAATTGTAAATATAAATAGATAAATCAGTAACTTTATTGTAAACAATACGATCATAGTTGATTTTGATAGTCTCTCGACACATTGATTATGTCTACAATAAAAACAAATTAGTCTGAATATTATCTTAGCCGTTAAAACAAGTCATAATACAAAATAGATACATTTTACTCATTCAATTTCCGTAACTACTAAATAGATAGCACTAAATAGAAAATACCATCGTTTAATTTAGGATACAAAATGGATAAAAGTGGAAAGAAATCTGAGGAAGTTGTCTCAAGAGATAATTTAAGCGAACACGACATTGCTGTTTCAGATGACAAAAAAATTGTTTGTGATATTTGTTAGGAAGCATTTACACAAGAATCAAGCATGGCAGCACATAAAGACACAATGCACAAAGAGCAAAAAGATTACTCATGTGACAAGTGCGAGAAACAATTTGAGTTCCGAAGTCATTTGAGTAGGCACCAAATATCGGTACACAAAAGCCGTAAAGATTTTTCATGTGACCAGTGCGAGAAAAAATTTTTAAAAAAATCGAGTTTGTCTACACACCAAAAATTAGTACACAAAAATCGAAACGATTTCTCATGCGAAAAGTGCGAGAAAAATTTTGAAAATAAATCAACGTTACTGAAGCACAATAAGATATTCCACGAAGTTTTTAAATCTTTCTTATGTGAAAAATGTGCGAAGAGATTTGGAAATAAACAGAGATTGTTCTTACACGTAAAAACAGTACATGATGGTCAGAAAAATTTCGCATGTGACAAGTGTGAAAAGAAATTTGGGCAAAAATCGGATTTGTTAAAGCACCAAAGGACAGTACACGAAGGGGGACATCAATCCGATTTGCTCTCTCATCAAAATACAATCGGCAAAAGCCGCAAAGTTTATGAATGCGAGAAATGTGAGAGGAAATTTGGACAAAATAACGACGCTGTTAAGGAAGAGTAGCACGTTTCTATACATTTTTAAATGTAAACGTGCTAGTCTTCCTTAACAGCGTCGATAAATCATATTTGCTTTTGCACCAGAGGACCGTACACGACCGTTTCAAAGATTATGCATGCGACAAGTGTGAAAATAAATTTGGACAAAAATCGACTTTGCGTGTGCACATAGCCACAGTCCATGAGAGTCGCAAAGATTATCGATGCGACAAATGCGAAAAGAAATTTGGGGATCGAAGCAATTTGAGACAACATCAAAAAACAGTTCATGAAGGACGAAAAGATTTTGCATGCGATAAATGCGAGAAGAAATTTGGACTCAAATCGACTTTGCTTTCACACCAACAGACAGTGCACGAAGGTCGAAAAGATTATGCATGCGACCATTGTGAAAATAAATTTGGACAAAAATCGACTTTGCGTGTGCACATAGCCACAGTCCATGAGAGTCGCAAAGATAATCCATGCGACAAGTGCGAGAAGAAATTTGGACAAAAGCAACATTTGCTCCGCCACCAAAGGACAGTACACGATGGTCGCAAAGATTACTCATGTGACAAATGCCAGCAAACATTTGGACACAAATCGAGTTTACTTTACCACCAAAAAGCAGTTCATGAAAGTCGCAAAGATTACGCATGTGATAAATGCAAAAAGAAATTCGGTGTTCAAAGCAACTTAATTAGGCACCAAAAAATAATTCACGAAAATTGTAAGGATTATATATGCGACAAGTGTGAGAAGAAATTTGGACTAAAATGGCATTTATTATCACACCTAAAGACAGTGCATGAAAGTCATAAAGATTTCCCATGCGACAAGTGTGTAAGGAAATTTGGCAATCAAAGTAGTATGATCAGACACTTAAAAACAGTTCATGAAGGTCAAAAAAATTATGAATGCAACAAGTGCGACCAGAAATTTGGACAAAGATCAGATTTGCACAGACACCAAAGAACAGTCCACGAAGGTCGAAAAGATTTTGCATGTGACAAGTGCGAGAAGAAAATTGGAAGTAAATCTGATCTGTTGAAGCATCAAAGAACATTACATAAAGGTCTAAAGAATTACGCGTGCGACAAGTGTGAAAATAAATTTGGGGATTTGGGAAATTTGAAAAGACATCAAAATATTGTCCATGAACGTCAAAAAGCTTACGCGTGTTACAAATGTGAAAAGAAATTTGGACTGAAATCGAATTTATTGAATCACCAAAATTCAGTTCACGAGGGTCGCAAAGATTACGCGTGTGACAAATGCGAGAAGAAATTTGGACAAAAATCGCATCTATTCGTGCACCAAAAAACAGTACATGAAGGTCGCAAAGATTACACATGTGACAAATGCGAAAAGAAATTTTGGGTTCAATCCAATTTAATAAGACACGAAAAGACAGTCCACGAAAGTCGCAAAGGTGAGGAATGCCAAACTTTCGAGAAGAGATGATAATTGACAATTGTAAATATGTATTGATATTTTACATATATTTTTTCTGAACGTTCAATGAAAATTATGAAATAATTGTTTCTTACTTAACCGTCGGGCGGTCAGCTATCATTACACTTTTTTACACTGTCGTTATGGTGTTCAAATTTTGAACCAGAATTATCGTTCTGCCAATTACTACTCTCTGTTAATTTTTTGTATACTTGGCATCTAGCTTTTTATGCAAATTCGATCAGCCTAGAGTTTTTTTTAGTCTTGTTCGAAACTATGAACTGAGACGATTAATTGGTTGGCTATTGGATAGTTGATAAACCTAATGTAATAATATCCAGACCCTGAATTGATCAAACATGTGAAATATTTGGATGAATTTGACGATGAACTGATATATACTATAATATTCACATAAAGCTTATATTTTTTTAAATTTTATTTCATTTTATTTCAATATTCTCACAATTATAGCGGGGTAGCGATCATAGGCATAGTTGCAACAAACATATGGAGCCCTTCAGGAACTTGAATAGGTTATTGGTTCAACTTGAATGTTACGATACGTAGTCATACAATTTAATTTGAAATTTTATTTGTCAAGGAGACCTCCTGTAAATTTAGAGACACTTTTCTTGTATGTAGGGCTGAAAATATTTTGTTTAAAGGGATAGTAAGAAGTTGACCAATCTCAATTTTTATTTTAAGTCTATTTATTTTAAATGTAATAAAAAGGGTTTTAAAGCGTATGTGGCCTCTTAATAACTAACGCTCGATACAATGCAATCTAACGAATCATCACAACGCGTTTATTTCGATGGCACAATCAAGATATCGCCTTAAAAGATAGAATGAAAAATAAAAATTACACGGGGAAGGTGGGTCAAGAAAAAGAACCCAGCTGGTGCCAGTGGCGGTTTATGGAGCACGCCATTCTTGCCTATGCGAGTGGCGGTAAATTTTTAAATAAATATTAAATTATATTTGCGTAAACTCGGTGTTATTTGTCAAGAGTTTTTTAAGAAGTATTTCGTTTTAGAAGGACAATTTCTCGAAGTAATTGACCTTAAGCTAGCTAACTTCATTGTAAACAATATTTCTCCTACGAGAGACGAGACGATAAATGAAATTGTAAATATAAATAGATAAATCAGTAACTTTATTGTAAACAATACCATCATAATTGATTTTGACACAGTCTCTCGACACATTCATCATGTCTACAATAAAAACAAATTAGTTTGAATGTTGTCTTTGCCGTTGAAACAAGCCATAATACGAAATAGATACATTTAACTCATCCCTAGTACTAAATAGAAAAGTCCATCGTTTAATTTAGGATACAGAATGGATAAAAGTGAAAAGAAATCCAAGGAAGTTGTCTCAAGAGACAATTTAAGCGAACACGACATTGCTGTTTCAGATGACAAAAAATATGTTTGTGATATTTGTCAAGAAGCATTTACACAAGAATCAAGCATAACAGCACATAGAGACAAAATTCACAAAGAACAAAAATTTTTTGCTTGTAACAAGTCTGAAGAAGAATTTGAGTTCCGAAGTCATTTGAGCCGACACCATATATCATCACACAAAAGCCGCAAAGATTTTTCATGTGACCAGTGCGAGAAAAAATTTGTAAAAAAATCGAGTTTGTCTACGCACCAAAAATTAGTACACAAAAATCGAAAAGATTTCTCATGCAAAAAGTGCGAGAAAAATTTTGAAAATAAATCAACGTTACTTAAGCACAATAAGATATTCCACGAAGTTTTTAAATCTTTCTTATGTGAGAAATGTGCGAAGAGATTTGGAAATAAACAGAGTTTGTTTTTACATGTAAAAACAGTACACGATGATGGGAGAGATTTCGCTTGCGATAGGTGTGAAAAAAAATTTGGACAAAAATCGGAATTTTTAAAGCACCAAAGGAGAGTACACGAAGGTCTGAAAAATTTGACGTGTGACATTTTAAAGCAGAAATTGGGACATAAGTCCAATTTCCTCTTTTATCAAAATACAATTTACAAAAGTCGCAAAGATTATGAATGCGACAAATGCCAGAAGGAATTTGGAAAAAAATCACATTTGCTTTTGCACCAGAGGACCGTACACGACCGTTTCAAAGATTATGCATGCGACAAGTGTGAAAATAAATTTGGACAAAAATCGACTTTGCGTGTGCACGTAGCCACAGTCCATGAGAGTCGCAAAGATTATCCATGCGACAAGTGCGAGAAGATATTTGGACAAAAACAACATTTGCTCCGCCACCAAAAAACAGTACACGAGGGTCGTAAAGATTACAAATGTGACAAGTGTGAGAAAAAATTTGGAACGAAACAGCATGTTCTTTACCACCAAAAAGCAGTTCATGAAGGTCGCCAAGATTACGCATGCGACAAGTGTGAAAGGAAATTTGGAAAACGAGGAAATCTTATTAGACACCAAAAAACAACCCACGAAAATCGTAAGGATTATAAATGCGACAAGTGTGAGAAGAAATTTGGACATAAATGGATTCTGATTAAACACAACAAGACAGTGCATGAAGGTCGCAAAGATTATGCATGCGACCAGTGTGATAGTAAATTTGGACAGAAACACAATTTGCTCGACCATCTGAAAACAGTGCACGAAAGCCGTAAAGATTTCACCTGCGACAAGTGTAGAAGGAAATTTGGAAGTCAAAGAAGTATGATGAGACACTTTAAAACAATTCATGAAGGTCAAAAGAATCATGAATGCGACAAGTGCGAGAAAAAATTTAGACAAAAGTCAGATTTGATCAGACATGAAAAGATAACCCATGAAGATTGCAAAGATTATGCATGCGATCAGTGTGGAAAAAAATTTGGTCATAAATCAGATTTGTTTAAACACAAAACGACAGTTCACGAAGATCGCAAAGATCACGCGTGCGATAAGTGTGAAAAGAAATTTGGAGAACGAGGCAATTTGATGAGACACCAAAAGACAGTACATGATGATCGTAAAGATTTTGAATGCAACAAGTGCGAAAAAAAATTCAGTCTGAAATGGAATTTATTGAATCACCAAAATACAGTTCACGATGGTCGCAAAGATTACGCGTGTGATCATTGCGAGCGAAAATTTGCAAAAAAATCGAATTTGCTCTCCCATCAACATGTAGTCCACGAAGGTCGTAAAGATTATGAATGTGACGAGTGCGAGAAAAAATTCGGTCACAAATATACGTTGCTTCTACACCAACAGACAGTCCACGAAGACGAACAATTTTGAGAAGAAATAATAATCGACAATTGTAAAAATGCATTGATTTTTTTACATATGTTTTTTTCTGAAATTTCAATAAAAATGTTGCCTAAATGATTTAGTCCGACCCGAACATCAGGCGTTTAACTATCATTACAGCTTCGTTCACTGTCGATAACAATAACTTTTTACGTACGTGAAAATTATTTAACAATTTAATTTCAACCAAAACATGTTTTCTATATTTTTTTAAAATTAGTAACGGCTCTCATAATTGTTCTTTCCTTTTCCTAGTACTTTCAAGAATCCAAAATCTTACATTAATTCTCTTTTAATTGCGTGAGTCGCAAATGAAAGTTTTCTCGAGAGTTGCATTGGTTCACTCGTGGTTGTACGCTAATTGTCCTTTTAGATGAATGATACTTTCAATACAATTTCAATGCGGTTTTAATGATTTTAAATTCTCACGAATGAATGATCACAGTACATGTTTATTTATTGTGCCTACATTCATTACTATGATGATATTTTTATCAGTATTAAACAACGGGTATTCGGCAACGGTTAAAATGGGAGAAACTCCTGTAAATTTAGGTACTAAATTATTATTCGGTGGCTACGTATATGTGCGATCGAAAAAAGCGAAAGGAAAAACATATTGGGAATGCAATAGGCTTCGAGATCGAGTGTGCGCGGCTCGAGCTATTACGATCCCCGTACGTGGCACGAACAACCTCGAGCTCCTCAAAGGCCCCGAACAATCGGAACACATACACCCTCCCGATCCGGAAGAATGCAGGGCTGTGATAGTGAAAATTAGGTACGATTTGCGTTTTTATGACTCGGCGCACGCTGTATATGGATAGCATATGGATGCGCGTTATGCTCGCACAGGTTAAAGAGGAGAGCCGAAGAGCATCCAGGCGAGTCGCTGTCTCTGATACTCCGAAGCGAGCTTCATGGTTTAGACGGTGCTGTTTTGGCGCGCTTACCCGAAAGGAAGAACCTCATGAATTCGATGAGACGCTTCCGCCGAAAAAAATTAGCAGCAAATCCAATTTGAAGGAAGCAGTACTAGAGAAATCTCTTCGTTCTGGTCGTACGATGCCCGTTTTCAGAAAATTAAAAAAATATTTTTTACATTTATTGCCTCGTCCTTGACAATTTTTTAGATATCTTTTGTAGATCATTTTTTTTCCATTTCTAATTATTGACAATTATACGGAGACATTATTCAGGCTTATAATGGACATTTAAAAATAAAAAAAGTCAATAAATGATAATTAAATAGAAATGAATTCTATCAAAGACGTATAATTTTCGACAAGCAAACCATTTTTGGTCTTAAGGATGTGATGATTTACATATTGTAGATGCTTGCAAATCATCTTCATCTTTACGTATATTGCGCAAGAAAATTAAAAGGCCCCTCTTACCTCTAACTCCATTCTCCCACGTACAAGTTACCATACACAAGCTCAGATCTCTCGTACAATCTCTCGATATTCAAATTAAATTGATGATTATTTTTATGATAATAATTATATAAAAATATGCTATGCGTAAGAGAATAAATTTATTCAAATTCAATTTTTCTTGAATTGTCTGTTGAATTTTTTCTACAATAATGAGAGTCAAATTACATAAATATACATATCAAAAGTACGTACGAAACACTCTCTCTTACGATCGTTCACACAAAATACTTGTCCTCCAACACCGTCGCGGCGGTTTTGTCCGACACCTCGTCGAAGAATTTCTTGGCCAGTGCCCTCGTCAAGTAGCCCTTGATCACCGGCCCAAAGAAGACGTAATCTTTGTCAAAGGTTTCCGAGAACACTATGCTCTGCCAGTCCGAGTCCTCCAGCAGCTTGTAGGCCTCGCTCGGAGGAAAGGCGCAGACGTCGATCAGCGAAACCTTGTCCTTGATCATGTGCTTGCGCGCTCGGCCCAGCTCGTCCTCGAAGTAGGGCTCGGCGGCGCGGCACAGGTCGCCGTATATCCTCCTCGACTCCTTCATCAACGGCTCCATGGACGAGCCCGTGACGCTCTTCTCGTCGTACAGAGTCTGCAATTCTTCCACGAGGCTGCCGAGGATCTCCTTGGCGCGATCGCCCAGGTACATGTTGCCGAGCTCGACGATTCTCGCGTAGTTGACGACGGCGTTGTACACCGGACCTAACTCGTGCTCGAGGTACATCGACGCTCTGCAGTGGCTCTTTATAAACGACACGCTCGGCGCTGCTCGACGCAAGTATGCGTAAAGAGAAATCGTACGTTTCATTATTAATTATAGCAATATCATACGTTTGCTATTTGCTTGAGGTGCACAAATTCAAATTCTGAATCTTACTCGTGTAATGTCTGAAAAAAAGTTACCTAGAGGCACTACGTAGCGCAGCGTAAAGTAGTCGTGGGTCGTCGGGAATCCCAGCAAAAATCTCAAAATCCTGACCTCGTGCCGCGCGTCCAGCTGAAAGCCCTTGGCCCGCAGAAGCTCGACGATGTCCAGCAAGTTCTGCGCCATCTCCAGATTCCTCAGATGCTCGTTGTTCGGCTCGAGATAGAAATGCTGGAAGGTGACCCAGCTGGGATCGGCCCCGAGCTCCAGCAGCGTCTCGACCGCCTCCCGGTTGCAGGTGGACACGGCCAAACAGAGCGGCGTCTCGCGCGCGTTGTTCGCGACGTTGACGTCGGCCTTGAAGTCTTCGACGAGCAGATACAGCACGTCCGAGACGTGGGGGTCGCGGCGCGGCACCTCGAACTCTTTTCCGTAAAGCTGCGGGCTGTACTCGCGGCGCAGCACGTAGTGCATGATGGTCTCCTCGAAGTTGTCGCGATGGTCCACGTCGGCACCGTAGTCCAGCAGTATCTTGAGCATGTCCAGCTGCAGATCTCCTTCGCTGATGCCGGAAAAATAGAGAGACTGGATGGGCGAGATATTTGTCCTAGGGGTGCGGAAATTGACGTTGGCCCCGTGCCCGATGAGGACCTTGATCACGCCCTGGCAGGCCAGGTGTGAGTCGTCGGTGACGACGATGCCAGACGAGCCTATCCGACGGCAAAAGCTGCTGAGCAGGGTGGCTCCGTCCTCGTCGGTGAGATCGACCGGGACTCCGCTGGCCAGCACGATGTCCAGCAGGTTTGCATCGGGCCTGGCTCCCGTCAGGACGAAGGCCACGCGATTCAGATCCTCGTGGATGCCGAGATCGAGCAGTTGGTGGGCCAGGCGCGAGTGGCCGATCTTGCAGGCCGCCTGAAAGTGGCTGAAGCCGCTCACCGGGTCCTTGTGATTCACCGTCGTGTCGTAGATGTCGAGCAGCATATCGAAGTAATCCAGCTGGTCGTTCTTCGCGGCTATGTGGAGCGCCGTCAAGCAGAACTCGGGCAGCACGAGCTTCTTCTTCTTTCTGCGGAACAGCACGAAGTTGAGGACCTTGAGCTGACTGTCCTCGCAGGCCTTCGTCAGGATCCAGTTGATGTCGAGCTCGTCCAGAGCGTTGAAGTTGCCGAGCAGGTCGTGCCCGACCACCGCCGGATCGTCTTTCAATTTTTGACACATCGTGATGTAGACGCGATCCGCTCTCGGGTAGGAGGCATTTTTGCCGCTCTTCTTTTTAGATCCGGGTTTCGGCATTTTTGACAGGCGCGCGCGGGTACACGATCTTTTTCTCTCTTGATCGCGCGATCGTTGTAACTTCGGCAATTGAGTCGAGACTGTGTGCGCGTGCGAGCAGTGAACTTTTCGTCTGTTTCAGCGACGATAGAAAAATATTTACATTCGGTCGGTCCTTCTCATCGCGAGCTGTTTCGACGAGCCCGCGAAGCTAGTCGACGCTTGGTTAAACTTTGACGCGCGAGTGGCGCTAATTTTTCATTTGCTCTACATTGTCGACCGATACAAATAATTCTTGACTAATTTCGTTTGCGGAATCGCGGAGCTTTGACAAAAAAAGGAAAATTCGAGTATGTTGACAAATTTAATTAAAGTTAAACATTGATAAAATACTGTTTAAGAACAGCACATAAATTTGAATTTCAACAAAAAATTAAAAATCAAGCAAGTTATCAATTCAATTTCAAAATTAAAACTCTTGTTACGAGGAGCGATTATGGTTCCGTTCGTAGCTTAAGCTCACAGCTGCAAAAAAGTGTGAATTCGGCAAAACGGCAAGCGGTACACCTTCATGAATTTATAATTTTATTGAAGTCCAAACCAGTAGAAGATTCAATAAAAAAAATTCACTTGAAAAATCCAAAAACGTTAAATGGAATTTCTGAAAGAAAATTTAATCGAGGATTCTGAAGTTTCATCTCTGGTGATTTGATTATCTAATATCCATTGCATATGAAAGGACCGAAAGTGTAATTTCATCGTCCCTTTCCCTGATCAATTTTTTTGCAATAAAATACATTAAAGCATTTTACAGTTTAAAGTTTGAACTGGTAATTCAATAGATGACAGTTTTAAACTATTTTCACTAAATATAAACTCAAAATATAAAATCGTTCTCAGCACTATAAGTACTAGTAATGATCAGTGGAGTATTCAAAAAAATGTCGCCTCCACGAAAAGTTTCATTTACGACTCATACAATTGAAAAAAAATTAATATTATATTTTGGATTGTCAAAAGTATTAAGAAAATTATAAAACAATTATGAGAACTTTACTAATTTTGAACAAATAGAAAAGCATTTTTTTTGTTTAAATTAATTTTACATGGTTTTTACGTTGGTTTTTTAATAAGAACATATTGTTATTTATTAATAAATTTAAATATTAATAAACTCATTGAAACCTTTCACTAATCCACGTTTAATTAATTCAGGGTCGTGATTTTATTATGTGATCAAAAATTCAGTAGCCAACTAAATTCTCGATGAATTTACGATTTCGAACAAACAATAAGTGAAAAAACTCTTGGCTGACTGTTTCATTGAAACCAAGTATCAAAAAAAATTAACGGAGAGTAGTAATTGGCAGAACGACAATTCTGGTTCACAAATAAAACACCACAACGACATGTACGAGGGTATAATGATAATTTAATACACGAGGTTCATGTAACACAATCATTTTAGCATAATTTTTTTTGAAAGTTAAGAAAAAACTTATGTTAAGTACCAATACATATTTACAATTGTCAATCATCATTTCTTCTCGAAATTGTGGCATTTGTAATCATTGTGACCATCGTGTATTGTTTTTTGAAAAAACTTTTTTCGTAACTGAACAAATACGATTTTTTTCTCAATTTCTTTTCAGAACTAACAAAAATTTCTGCTCGTACTTGTCGCATATATTATCTTTATGACCTTAGTACATCGTCTTTTGGTGCAAAAGTAAACTCGGTTTGTGTGCGAATTTTTTAAATGCACTTGTCATGTACGTAATCTTTGAAACCTTCGTGAATTTTCTTTTGGTGCCGAAGTAAAATCGATCTTTGTCCAAACTTCTGCTCGCATTTGTCGCATGCGTAATCTTTTTGACCTTCGTGAACTGTTCTTTGATGAATGAGCAGATGTTCTTTTTGTCCAAACTTCTTCTCGCACTTGTCGCATTCATAATCTTTGCGACCTTCGTGTACTATCCTCTTATGTCTATCCAATTGCGATTTTACTCCAAATTTCTTCTCACACTTGTTGCATACGTAATCTTTGCAACCTTCGTGAACTGTTCTTTGATGAATGAGCAGATGCTCTTTTTGTCCAAACTTCTTCTCGCATTTGCCGCATATGTAATCTTTGCGACTCTCATGAACTGTTTTTTCGTGTCTACTCAAAGAATTTTGAACGCCAAATTTCTTTTCGCAATAGTTGCATGCAAAATCTTTACGACTTTCGTGGACTGCTTTTTGGTGGATAAGAAAATACTGTTTATACCCAAACTTTTTTTCGCATTTATCACATGTGTAATCTTTGCGACCTTCATGGACTACGTTTTGGTGAAAGAGCAAACGCGATTTTTGTGCAAATTTTCTCTCGCATCTGTCGCACTCATAATCTTTTTGACCTCGGTGTATTGCCTTTTGATGCGCAAATAAACTAGATTTGTGTGCAAATTCTTGCTCGCAATTGTCACATGGGTAATCTTTGCGTTTTTCATGGACCGTCTTTTGGTGTAAAAGTAATGACTGTTTATGTCCAAATTTCTTCTCGCACTTGTCGCATGCGTGATCTTTGCTTTTTTCATGGACTGTATTTAGGTGTTTTATTAAATTGCTTCCAGTCCCAAATTTCTTCTCGCACTTGTCGCATTGGTAATCTTTGCGATCATCGTGGACTATCCTTCGATGTCTCAACAAATCTGCTTTGTATCCAAACTTCTTTTCGCACTCGTCACATGTGAAATCTTTGTGACCTTCGTGGACTCTATTTTGGTGTAGGAGCAAATGTCGTTTATGTCCAAATGTCTTCTCGCACCTGTCGCATGTGTAATCTTTATGATTTTTGTGTACTGTCATTTGGTGAGAGAGCAAATTCCATTTATATCCAAATTTCTTCTCGCACTGGTCGCAAGCGAAATCTTTGCGACCTTCGTGGACTATTCTTTGGTGTCTGATCAATAACGATTTTTGTCCAAATTTATTCTCACACTTGTCGCATGCATAATCTTTGAAACCGTCGTGTACGGTCCTCTGGTGTAAAAGTAAATTTGATTTTTTTGCAAATTTCTTCTTGCATTTGTCGCATTCATAATCATTGCGACTTTTGTGACTTTTGTGGATTGTATTTTGATGAAAGAGGAAATTGGACTTATGTCCCAATTTCTGCTTGAAAATATCAAATGTCAAATTTTTCACACCTTCGTGTTCTGTCCTTTGGTGCTTTAACAAATGTTTTTGACCATCATGTACTGTTTTTACATGTAAGGACAAACTCTGTTTATTTCCAAATCTCTTCGCACATTTCTCACATAAGAAAGATTTAAAAACTTCGTGGAATATCTTATTGTGCTTAAGTAACGTTGATTTATTTTCAAAATTTTTCTCGCACTTGTTGCATGAGAAATCTTTTCGATTTTTGTGTACTAATTTTTGGTGTGTAGACAAACTCGATTTTTTTACAAATTTTTTCTCGCACTGGTCACATGAAAAATCTTTACGGCTTTTGTGTACCGATATTTGGTGTCTACTCAAATGACTTCGGAACTCAAATTTATTCTCGCACTTGTCACACGTGTAATCATTTTTTTCATTATGAATTGTTTCTTTATGTGCTGTCATGCTTAATTCTTGAGTAAATGCTTCCTGACAAATATCACAAACATATTTTTTGTCATCTGAAACAGCAATGTCGTGTTCACTTAAATTATCTCTTGAGACAACTTCCTCGGATATCTTTTCGCTTTTCTCCATTTTTTATCCTAAATCAAATGACGAATCAATCTATTTAGAGCCACGGAAATCGAATGAGTAAAATTTATCTCTAGGTATTATGGCCTGTTTCATCGGAAAAGATAATATTCAAACTAATTTATTATTACTATAAACATGATTAGTGTGTCGAGAGACCATGTCAAATTGTTTATGATTATATTGTTTACCATCAAGTTACAAATCTATCTGTGTATACTTTAAGTATTTAAAACAATTTAAAATTCTAACTTAGCAATGATTCCTTCTAATAATTTTTCGTACCATTTACAAAAAAGTAATACTAAAACAATATTTGACAAACATCGAGTTTACATAAAAAACATTGATTAAACTCTAGAAGGCCACAGTTTCAGAGCCCATACCATCCCTAAAAAACTGATCCCAAAAATTTTCTTTAATCAATGATCGACCAGAGGCAAAGTATCGATCAGGAGGTGCACCAATATTGTGTACCTTGATTGGCATGCCCCATAACCCGACGCTGGTAATGGTTACTTAAGTTAATAGTACAAGCGCAAGACAATATTATCGACTTGTAAAGTTGACTCATTATTTTTGTAGTAAACAGTACCATTATTAAGATATCAAGTGGATTTTACCAAAATATCTATAATAGTAACTTGTGTTGCTGAGAGTCGTAGGGTTTACCACAGCACCTCTAGTAGACAATACTATTTCATATTTTCATTGTTAAAATTCACGTTGAAAGTTATGCTCAAGTGGCAATCAGTGCGTTCTCTCTCGCTTATTCAGTTATTTCTTGCTATTTTTGGGTATTGAAATTATTTTCGATAGTTTTCAATATTCTTAAGACTTGCTTGAGAAAGCTCCATTCGAATGGTTTGTCGAAATTGTTAATTAAGTGGAATAATTACAAGTTCCAAAATAAAAAAAATGTCAACAATACTCAAATATAAAAAAAATAACGAAAATAATAATTGTAAAAAGTAATAAAAACTAATACAATAATTTGTTAATATATTATAATAAAAAATTGGACATTAATGATTTATAAAATATAATATTGTTATAATTTAAAAATATTTCAAAATATACATAAAAATGTATATGAATCATTTTATCGTTTGCGTAAATGTTTCTCCGCCTTACGTCGCAAGTATGTGTAAGTATCGGGCGCCTGCATAAATGATATTTTCCTTGCAATTTTGAAGTAGTTTCAACGGTATTTGGGTGATAGTATATAATGTATCGTGATAGATAACTGGCCAGACGACGGTGGTGAAAGAAATTATTGCCAAGAAGCTATCACAATCACGGGATATCCGATCGCGAATATTCGAGTGAGTGGTGCAATCAGTTGCTAGCAGGGAGCTAAATTCTTGCAGTAACTGAGTGTTTACAAATCGGTTGTATCAAGGAACAGTGTTGGTTAGTCGAGGCACATAACCTCTAACATTTTCAAGATTTTAAAAGTTCATAGTGAATACATGTAACAAAGCACAGATGGAAAGCAGAGAAAACACAGTTAGGTGTGTAACTTTTGTTCATGCTATGATTATTTTTCAAGCGATCGCTTCATAAGATTTTTATCTTTTTTAGGGTGAAGGAAGAGCCGAACGATACTTGGACCGATGCAGACGACGATTATATTCATGATTCAGTGGATTCTTGTGAAGTAAAACACTTTGATAAATTGCCATTCTACGAATTATCGGTGGGCTAAATAATTTGAATTAAGTTCAACTTTTTCACTATCAAAAACTATTACTCAATTTTAACTGTAGGTAAATCCCATAACTGAGGTTACGTCGTTAAAAGAAAAATTAAGTGACAAAATATTCGTAGATTTTAAATGCAAAAATGCTCAATCTGAACCAACGTCTCTTTCGACAAACACCTGCAAATCTAAGGGACAAAATTTTCCATCCGTTGTGAAAATTGAAAAAGAAAACCATATTATTCACGAGAATGAAAGTATATTCATTGATATTGAGTGCAAAGATGTGAAACTTGAACCGAAGTCTGCGACAACCATCATCAGCAAAACGGAGTATCAAAGTTATTCATCTATTGTGAAAATTGAAAACCAAGTTCAGACTAGTAATTTGAAAGATAAAGATCTTATAATTTTGATTAAAAAACAGTTCGATTATGATAATAATTGCCGATTTCAAGTAAATCCCCCATTGAAGTTTGGAGAATTGAAAGATGTGAAAAAATTACGCGAAACATTTGAAACCAAATTATCTTATGATTATAAAATAAGCCGAAAAACATATAAAGGAGAAATGAGTATAAAAAGACAGGTCAACGAAGCTCACAAGATTAATAGACCATATAATTGTGATATTAGTCAGAAATCATTTGAATATAAAAGTAATCTCAACAAGGACATAAATACAGTACATAATCATATCAAATCCTTCGAATGTCATATTTGTCTCAAATCATTACGATACAAAAATACGCTCAAAAATCACATAAATGTTTTACATGATCGTAGCAAACCCTTTGAATGTGAAATTTGTCATAAATCATTTGGACAAAAGGGTCACCTTAAAATTCACATAAAAATAGTTCATGATCGTAGCATATCTTTTGAATGTGATATTTGTCACAAATCATTTGGACAAAAAAGTGATCTCAATAAACATACAAGTGCTGTTCATGATCAAATCAAACCCTTCGAATGTGATATTTGTCAAAAATTATTTGGATATAACAGTCATTTTCAAAGGCATAAAAAGACAGTTCATAAACGAAGTAAACCCTTTGAGTGTGACGTTTGTCACAAATCATTTGGACTGAACAGTGATTTCAAACGTCACGTGAATGCAGTACATAATCGAATCAAACCCTTCGAGTGTGACGTTTGTCGCAAATCATTTTCATACAAAGGTACTCTCAAAAATCACATAATGAAAGTACATAATTGTTAATTGAATTGAAAGTACATAACCTTAAGAGCGCGAGATTTGTCCAGAGACATTTGACTTCCTATCCCATGTAATTTGGAAAAATCTTTCACCCGGATATCCTCTAATTTTGTGAAGAATAATAAAATATTTTATCAATATCGTGTAAATCTTTTACTCACCTTTCGTATATAATAACTCAAATATTAACTCTGCATATCAACTAAATCGCCGCGCAAATTATAAATTCGTATATCATGCCATTTTTTATAATCGAATCGTGAAACAGTTTTTACCCTGCTGCCACGATAGTTTTTTCAAGTCATAAATGTCACCAAATTATATTAGCATTTTCGAGGTCATCCATTACTTTTTCAGAGGCTCGGAATTGGCATTATTCCGAAATTCCTAACGATAGCTAATATTTAAAAACGTCGACAACTTGAGGAAGGTTACTGAAGCACAACTTTATAGTGACTACTTTTAAGATCGTTACCACCTTGAGCAAAAAGTTTGTCCAAAATCAGTAAGTAAGCCATCTATAAAGCAAAATACTATGAAGCATTTAAGTTTGAAAAAAACTCTTGCGTTTTATCATACTGAAGTTGATCTATTATTCTGAATTTAAAACGGGAGTTCGATTCAAAACGATTGTTTCGAAATTAACGCTCGAAACCGTGAATATTGACTACTTGATTATATCAAAAAACATAAAATCGTTCCAGCGCTGCGAGGCAAACATTTTGAATGTTACGAGTAATCTAACTTTACAAATATCTAAACGAATACCGATTGATTTCCACAATAGATTTCAATGTATATAAGAGCAGATAACATGGAATTTATTCAAGTTCGATTTTCGAGGCAGTGGCGGTTCTGCAACCGCAGTACATAAATTCGATCTAAATTGCAAGTTTTCGAGTGAAAAAAAGAGCGAAAGAGAGCGAGTACTTTGCTTATAAACTGGAAACGTACATGGCAATCTCATGAATAGAGCGCCAGACCCAGCCAACCTCTATAGAGCAATGAATATCATGAATAAAATACGGAAATAATTTTCATCTAATATATTTTTCACCGAAAAATGCGCCGCGAACAGAGAAGATCTCCAAGCGTGGCGCGTGCAGTTATAGGACCCGAAAGCTCGCCTATAAAAATAAAAAAGTCTCAAATCGACGAACACGAGGTTGTTAACAATATTTCAATGCTCCTCGATACGACTGCCTTTACGTATATATAACATACGTATCGACGATCTTTGAAGATTTTTCTTTCTCCATCGCAGTCTCTCCACGCGATATATGTCCGACCGAATGTTTTAAGCATGAAGACTTTTATCCCTTTGCCGCGTGCGGTTTCTATGCCGCGTCTAGAGTCTTTTCACATCTCAGTGATTTCATCGTTTTTGAAAATAAAATACTCACGAGTGTACGATGTTATAACGGATTACTCAGTGAAATGGTGAAGCAACCCCGCGCGGCTGATCAACTTCTGATATTGAAAAATAACGCGAAACTGCAACCACGCCAGTTACTGACGTATTTTTTTCATTTTCGTGATCTTTCGAGTGAGGTATCATTCAACGTTAACTATCGTGCCAGGTGGTAATTATTATCAAGTTAAAATTCTCGACGTCGAGATAGAGATACGGTTCGAGAAAAATCCTGTCAAGACAAAAATTATCTCAGTCGGAGAAATAATCCGAAATACAACACGAGATAGAAAGAGAGAGAGAGAGAGTGAAAATCTCGTGGAAATTCGAGCGAACTGATTTTGCATGAACGCTTCGCTGACTTCGTTATGGCTCGCCAGTGGATATAATGCTACGACGTATATATATAATGCCAACGCAACTGGTAAACGCGTCGATGTGCTATATGTCTCTCTCGCTTGTAAGCTCGACTGCAGAGAACGTAGAAAATATGTGTCTTTTTTTTATTGTTTGCGTGCTTTTTTTTCCCTGCGATTTGTATTACTTCGTTAATTTAAACTTTACGTGCGCCGTCGAGTAAGTTGAAACTCGAAGTATTAACACGAGCATTATTAAGACGCAATTTTTTTTTGAATTTATTTTTTCCTTTTTATTATTGTACTCGCTGTCGTGACTCACAAATTGTGATAAGGAACAAGTTGGCGCAGCGAGCAGCGGCGGCAGCAGCAGCAGTGCCGAAAGAAAAAGAGAGAGAGGGAGAGAGAGACGTAAATAAAAGTTTTGAAGCCTCCCGAAGCACTTTGTTCGAATGAATTTTACACGAAGAAAATTTTGCTTCCTCGACGAGAGTTCGAGATGAAATTACGCGGCTGTCGCATCAATGAGATTCCTCGTGGGGTATGTTCTTCTTTTTTTTTTCCTCTTTTTTTTTCTCTTGCTCATTTGGAACCAGAGAGGCGTTTACGAACTGGCGGCTAGCACTATAACTGTATATGTAGAATGTAGATGCTACTCCAGCGCGCGTCGCACGCCCTTATTTTGCTTTATAAGTATAAGTACCCCTTGATGAAGCTCGTTGAGTAGATGGACTTTTTTATGAAATAATAAAGCACTTACCTCACGCAGAGAATCGGGGAGGACGAAATGGACGGTGGAGAGTCAAAGTCGTACGCGTAAAAAAAAAAAGAAGAAAATTACATCCGCGTTGACTCTCGCGTGCTTGGCAATATTTTTTTTCTGTGTAACATAATAAAGCCTCATCCGAAGAAAATATGTATTTCCCATCTGCGAACACGCGTCGCGCAGAGAGGACCTCGCGCGTATTTGAATAATGCAGCGTATAGGGAAAAATCAACGAGAGAACGAGCTGAGCTTTATGAGCTTTCGCAAAATTGTCGGAGAACGCTGCACGCGAAACATAACATTTGTACTCGAGCGGTGGAGTTTCATCGGTGCGCCGAACTGCCACTACTATAACGTAAAATATTCTGATTGTGTTTGGAAAAGGGGGATGTTCGAGTAAACATCAAAATTAGACGTCGTTTCCGCTGGTAAAATTTGCGAGATCATATTAGAAACGGCACATATACTCGTGGCCGTGTGTGTGGCATCGAAAACAAACAACTATGCTCGCGCGTGCACGTATACCTGATCAAACTTTTTCTCTTTCTCTCTCTCTCTCTCTCGCTATGTGCATTGTTGCACTAATGCAAGTACTGTGTCGGGTCAAAGCAGAGAGCGAGAGAGAGAAAGATATATATGGCAATGAGAGAGTGATATTGCATTGCGATGTACGCGAGCCATAACGCAATATGTTGAATGGCAGAAAAGGAGCGGAACAACCCCCCAGAGTGGGTGCAATAATTAATTATACGACGACGAGGGCATGTGTGCGTGCAAACGCGAAATGCATATACATGGAAAAGCAAAACATGCAATATTCGTCGACTTCTTCTTCGTCGAGCTTCTTCTTCATAGCGAGAGATCCGTGCCGTTGTCGCCGCAACGCGACTTTATAAAAGAGAAGAGACAGCAGCAGCGGCAGCGCGAGTAGAGCTTTTATTTGCCAAGCTCGAATGATTTGTAAAATATTTTTTCCGGTACGCGCCTTTCTCTCTCTCTCTCTCTGGTGTCTCGTGGAGCAGCAGCAGCAGTACATCGTCGTTGGCACACGTTGCGCGAGGACGAGTGGCGTTGCAGAGAGACAGTGCTACGTGTATATATCATAACTCAATAAACATTTTCGCGCGCGAAATAGCGCAATTTATATGTGTATAACGCGGCATGTGACAGGAATACAATGCACGCACACTTTTCTTTGCGCATGTAAATTGTACTTCGTTGTAATAATTAGCCGAGCGTGATTATTATTAAAGTGGCGCTCGTCGTTGGCGAAAAGTGAAAATGTTATATTACATATATACGTATGCCGCGCAAAAGAGAGGTGCGTTACACGATGTTGTGCAGTATACAGGCTCGGCTACATACATATTGGAAAAAGCGTGACTGATGTTGTAAAAAAATATGAAAAAAACACAAAAGGAAAAAGAAAAAACACATTGCTCATTTTTTTTTGTTCTTCCACGTTTCAGCGTAAACGTTTTTATTTTTTGTTTTATTTATTGTAAATACCATGCGCATAGCGCAGCATTCTTTTCACCCATCAAAATCCAAAAGTGGTACTTTCAAACTATTGAAAATCGTAGGTATATACATTCCGTTGAGATTACCGCGTGCGCGGCGTTGTGTGTGCGCCTTTTTTTATTTTTGCCGCAAAAAAATATTGATAAAAAAAAAGCAACTTTCGGTTATCCGCACATGCTCTCTCGTTTACTCTATATATCTATGTATGTATAAAAAAAAAAACCATCGTGTTTGTTGCGCGCCTCTGTCGAGTACAGACTTTTTATATGCTTCGGTAAAAATTGTTTCCTCTCCTCTGGCTTGCCGGATTATCAATCTTCGTGAGCTTGATATTTCCTTTTCAGGCTTCGCCGAGTCGCTCGTCGTCGTAGTCGTCTTTCATCGTCGCTCCCATATCCCTTACAAGTGTACGTAATATACACTGCGCCCATCCTAGCGTGCCTCGTCGCTGCATCCGTCAATCCATCCTTTGTTTGTGTGTTCCTGAACGATTACAAAAAGCTCTTCAATACGATACCTAATCAGGCGTACGTCAGCTTCGTATATGATTAATTTAACTATGAATACAGGTACTTATTTGC